ACAGCATTTTAAGAAAAAAAACATTACTATCTTATAAGATTACCAAATTGCCCACTATAAAACAATTCTGCAAGGGAATCACAAAAAGTGATGTAAACACTGTTCAATTCTATACAAGACAGAAAACAATCTGAATTGTAAAACTGCAGAGGATGACCTAAGAATCTGTTTAAGGCAGACACAAAAGTAATGCTTTCTTTATCTGAGGGCCAAAAGCCTATCTCTTCTGCAACTCTGAAGTGAACCTGCCGGCTTAACGTATTATGGCAAGACATCTTCTGAAAATGATTTATTGGGTTTTTTTTAACTCTCTTGTCACTCACTTTGAACTTCTTTTTCATTAACATGTTTTCCTTTGGAATTTATTTGTTATATTGTTTGGGTTTTAGCTGGAATTTTATACACCCTGTAGATGTATTTTATATGAGTTTCCAGTACAGAAATGAATAAAATATCCAAAGTAGCAATGTGTTTTTTGTCCTGTGCACCAAACCACTCATGGTCAGTCATCATTATTCAAACCATACCTGTTTTTCTGTGCTATTCCTCTTCCTCGTTTCCTCTTTCTCTCCTAGCTCTTCTAATTCACTGTCAGGGTCATCAAGATCCTCATCATATCCACATTCATCATCATATCCCTCTTGGTCATCTTCTATTTCTGCTCCAGAATCATCATCTTCATCCGTGCCTTCCTCAGAGTCATCCTCATCCTCTGACACTGCACAAGGGCTACCATCTGGGTTATTCAAGTCCGAAATCAGCAATGCACATAAGCTATTTTGCAGTTTGATGTACCTACAAAGTGACAGGTAATATTATCAGGATGGTGACCCTTTCCATTGGCTCCTTAATGCCTTAGGAAAATAAAATAAAATGGAACATCCCTGTATTTGCCTCTGTGTCTTTGCAATCATTACTATTATCATCATTATAATAATTATTATTAATTACCTACCTTTCACCCTAAGGTCTCAGGGCAAGTTACAGCTTTAAAATACAATATTAAAAACAATTTAAAATAACAAATTTGTTCTTGTATAAGGGTTGTATCATGATGACTAACGAGCCTACATTTCAATTGCCTATTGAGTATGACTTGGTTGTATACTACCCATTAATATTTGCTAAACAGTAATTCTTGCCTTTCTGAACTAATAAAAAATATGCATTTACCTTGGCAAATACATTGCATTGCAAGACAAGACACAATGCTGCCAGGACTGTTTTGGTGTTAATGAAATATTCTACATTAGGGCACCTAACAGAGATATAGATAGCATAACAACAATGGAAAAGAAACAAATTCTACTTGGGGTTTTTGGGGAGGAATGGTGAAGGCTCAACAGCAGCCTGTAGGTCACATCTCTTTGAATGGATGGCCAACTAGCAGCCTCCAAGACTAAAAGTGGTTGGATTCAGAATGTGAGCTGCACCACTGCTTCTTTCATAGGAGATGCACCTCTCACTTCCTGGAAGAGGTGCCTTAAAAATGATGAGGGCAAAGCTGTGCACTCACAATTCAGCACAGGCAAAAGTGGTAAGAGCAAGGAGAGAGTTACACACAATCCTTATCAATCGTTCTGCTTTAAATCAAAAGTGTTACCGCTCTAAACCCCAATGCAAGAAAAATAAAGCTTTCATCACAGAAATGCAACTACAGCGCGATGCTCTTCTATTCATCCACACAAAATCGCAGTCAATCACAGCTTTCTATTTAATACTGGAAATTCAGGTTGGACCTTTTCTATCTCTACAGCAGGTTGTTTTACATAAGACAAAGTAGATGTAGCATTTATGCTCACATTCAAGTTGCAATTTCAATGTGCAGATTTACATTTTACAAGTATAATTACATAGGATGCAATTAAACATTGCACTAATATAAGCGTTCTGACAGTGCAAGCATTTCTGGTTGCCAAACAAAAAATTCCCCTTTCCTTCCCTCATGCACAGTTCTGGAAGTTTTCCTGACTCTCTAGAGAGGATCACATAGGTGAAGGAGAGACATAAAGCCCTGCTGTGCTTGCAGGATGCCTTGTGCAGGCTTCTGCAACCAGCACAATGGTTAGTTGACCCTCGGTTTTGGCTTCTGAATTTATACCTATTTATTATTTAAAGGTGGTGCTGTGAGTTAAACCACAGAGCCTAGGACTTGCCAATCAGAAGGTTGGCAGTTCGAATCCCTGTGATGGGCTGAGCTCCCGTTGCTCAGTCCCTGCTCCTGCCAACCTAGCAGTTGGAAAGCACATGAAAGTGCAAGTAGATAAATAGGTACCGCTCCGGTGGGAAGGTAAACGGTGTTTCCGTGCGCTGCTCTGGTTCGCCAGAAGCGGCTTAGTCATGCTGGTCACATGACCCGGAAGCTGTATGCCGGCTCCCTCAGCCAATAAAGCGAGATGAGCACCGCAACCCCAGAGTCGGTCATGACTGGACCTAATGGTCAGGGGTCCCTTTACCTTTACCTTTATTATTAAAGTACACTAATGTTTATGTTTTTAACAGGCACTTGGTATTTATATGGCTACAAGAGTGCAGTTTTACATTTAATGGTTGGAATAAAATTCCATGTTTGTAATACATATGCAATATTATTTTTTTTACTTTAACCCCACACGCAGGACTAGAGGGCAACAACCCTCTCCTGCTGTTGTTCCCCAGTAACTCATATTCAGAGGCACTCTATTTCCGGAGAGTGTTTTACCATCACGACTAGTAAGACTATCCCCTCCATGAATTTGTCTAATCTGCTTTTAAACCTATCCAAGTTGGTGGTCATCACCATATCATGTGGTAGTGGTTTTTCTTCTTTTTGCCAAATTATTCCTTTCTTTGAGGAATTATAAAGTAACAAGTAACCTCACTCAACATGATCAAGTTACTGATAACCAAGATCATAACCTCTTATTATATGACATAGATAACAGTGCTGGCGGGGGGCAGGAAAAGAATCCAGTTTAGCCAAATCAACATTGTCCAGGTTTTGGTTACAAAAGAAAATAAGGAAATTGTAAGCAATACCAGACCAAATGCTAGTTAGTAAAAGGAAAACAAGGAATCAGTTAGGAAAATAAGTCCTGATGTAATGCTTGCTTTCTTATTTGTCCCGTTGAAACCAATCCTGAAATTCTCAAATCAAAGGTGCGATATCAAGTCGATACATAACTGGGGCAATGGTGGGAAACTACTGCTATTCCCCACCTTTAAAGAAAAAGCCTGAAAATGAGCACACACAGACTCAGATTCTTCACAGAAATCAACTACTCAGTGTAAAGTCTGCAAAACTTTGTCAGTTCTATTTTACCAGCAGATCCAGCTAAAATCTCAAGACTATGACTAAAGATTAGTTGCTAGAGGCAACAAATATGTAAGAAACAAAAGTCCTTATGAAAGTCCTCTTTCTGTAAACTGAGAAGTGGAACACAACATACTGCTAACACAAATGGGGAAAGAGTAGGTAATCTCACAGGAAGTTACTGGTTACAATGACCACCACATATGTGCCTTATCCCATTTTGTTCTCAAAATGGCCATGAGTATGACTTGTCTAAACTCACCCGGTGAATTTAATGCCTGAGTAGGGAACTCCAGTGAATTTAATGCCTGAGTAGGGAACTGAAACTAAGTCTTGTTTCGACTATGGCAGACCAACACGGCTAGCTACCTGTAACTGGTCCAATCTAATTATCTCATCTAATACTGGCTCTCTACAAAGAGCATCTGCTGGAATTGAGCTGACAAAGGTGGCAAGCTATTTTACGAATACAGAGTACATAGGAACCCTGTGGGATCAGACTGAAATCCGCCTAATCCAGAACAGTGGCTAACCACATGCCTTTGGGAATGTCACTCCATTTGGCACTCAGTGATAAACTGCTTCTGAACTATAGCTGTCAACGTTTCCCTTTTTAAAAGGGAAATTACCTTATTCCGAATAGGATTCCTCGCAAGAAAAGGGAAAAGTTGACAGCTGTGTTCTGAACATGGAAGTTTCATGTTGCCATCCTGGCTAAGAGCCACCCAATAAAGTCATGCGGGATATGTCTCTGCCAACTTTGCCTTTTAAATGCATCTAAGCTAGTGGCCAGTAGCATCTTCTATAGCACATAATGCATGACTTTTAAAAGAAACATGAATATATTTCCCCTGCCCATAGCTGTCAACCTTCCCTTTTTTTGCGGGAAATTCACTTATTCCAGCGCCGTTTCCCGCTGCTATCCCGGATTGTTAGATATCCCATAGACTGGCCCCGGGACAGGTGAGGCTACTGATCCCTTGTTTCCAAGGCTGCTAATCACTTATTTTCAAATCTGAAAGTTGACAGCTATGCCCCTGCCTCTGATAACCGGGCCTACCACGCTGGAAAGCAACATCCCTTCTCCCCGGGATTGCTCTACCAACCCTCTCCAACCCTCTGATGGCAGATAAGGATAAAAGGAGGGGGAACTACGGTGCTGACGGGCACTAGAAATGTCTCATGTAGTTCATTTAAGCTACGCTTGACGCACCTGAGAGGCTCTTCCCCATCCTTACGCCATCGCCCCCCCCTTTCCTCCTCCCCGCGCCCACCTGTACTGCTTGGGATCGCTGGGGGACTTGACGATCTCGGGATCCCCCAGGTTGGGGCTGGGCTCGCTGGCGGCCGCGGCCTTGTCTCCTTCGCCTCCAGCTTCCGCCTCAGGCTCCTCTTGGGCTGTGCCGGCCTTGGCCCCGCGACTGCTCTCCAAGTCCTCAGGCTGCTCGGAGCCGCCACCCAGCGAGGCCTTGGCCCGGCCAGGCATGGCTGAGGGAGAGCAAGGCCCGCTGAGGATCCCTCGGGGCTTGGCTTGAGGGTTGCCGGCGCGGCTGCGGAGGGCTGATCCTGCTCGAAGGTGGCTCGCCACCGAGGTCCCGCGCGGCCAGGCGGCTCCCGCCCTCAGCATCCACGGCGGGCCCAGCTCCGGCCCAGCAGCTCCAGCCCTCAGCCGCAGGCCGGTGCTCAGGACCGGAAGCCACCGAAGTCGCCCAATCAGGGCCCGGCTCGGCATCCACGCGCCGGACGCCCGCAAATCCAAGCTTCTACCGGCATCACTTGACTCTAACAGGCTGCCGGGAGCCTGAGGAGGTGGGAATGGGGCAGACCATTAGCGTTAGGAATGGAGGGGAGACGGAGAGTCGGGGAAGGGGAATTGTAGGATGCAGTAGTAGGCTTATCTCACCCCTGCTTCCTTCAAAACTGAGTTTTGAGGTTTGCCTTATAAACGTCTTTCTAAAGACGAGTACTTCTGGATTGGTTCAACAAGCTCTCACTCGTAGAAAAGGAGCCAATAATCTGTGACAGCGAATGAGGGAGAGCCATTACGTTTAGAACGACTGGGAACCATTCTTCGCTTCCTTGAACTGGGGATACAAAAGGTGCAGAAATTGAGCTGCTTGGAGCCAAATGACAGTGTAGTGAACTTGGTTGCTGGAAGAGTAGCTTTGAAAGGGGTTTAAGGGTTATTTATTTAATGATTGTGTCTGCTGTTTCTCTTTTCTGTGTTTTGTAACTTTGTTCCTTTTATATTCTAAAGGTTTTTGGCATGCAAACTATGGAAGACGGTGGCGTTGTAGTTCGCATTTTCGAGTTGCCCCGTTGCTCTGGTTGATGGGTCTTGGTGTTCTAGTAAAAAACAAAATAGATACTTGAAGTCTGTCCGAGCAATCCACCTTGCCAGCTCCAAGATTAACACTGGTGATACTTGCAGTATCACATTGGTGATACTTGCAGTATCACATTGGTGATACTTGCAGTGCCTGCACCACTCCTACAACCTTTAACTAACCTTTAACTAACCTATTAGACAACATTGTTGGTCTTCCAAAAACACTCGAGGCTGCCCTCCTAATCTAGCTGTATCTCGGACACTGAAGAGTGGGTAGAATGGAAAACTAGACGATCCCATTTCACAGGAGTTGCAAGTAGCCAGGGTTACATAGGTTGGGGATAGGAACCTGGTTCCCCTGCACCATGCTAGAATTGTTTGCACTGGGTTATCCTCTGTTACACTGGACTTACCAACATATCATTGGATAGCCAGGACTGAACACCCAACTCTCCTTTCTACTGTGAACAGAGGAGAAATGCACCATTTGCTATGGTACATATGTAATTTGGATATTGTACTTGTGAAAAAGAAACTGCAGTAAACTATTCACCATTTCAGCAGCTAATCTAATCTGGAGCCAGACTGATTTTGGGACAGGTGCAGTCTAACCTGGGTCACATGATGTGCAATCATAAAATAGGGGAGAACCAATAAATGCTACCTTGAGCTCCTTGGAGGAATGATGGCATATAAATGTAATAATAAATTATTTGATTCAGACATTATATACCTTTCTTTATATTATTAATTGTCCATATATTTCACTGCTGTTAGACTCAAAGTTCCATCTGCCCCTGTAAACATGGCCAATGTTGGGGATGATGGAAGTTGAAGTCCAACAATATCTGGAGTATCACAAGTTAGCCACCCCCCAAATTAACTGAATCAGTGCTATTTTTCTAGAAAAAATAGGTGCCGGAACTCACCACGGACACCTCCTTTGTTCTCTTGGAATGGCAATGGCGCCCACCTGAGAGGTGCTGGAACTGAGTTCTGTTGAGTTCCAGCTGAAATAAAGCCCTGAGTATAATTAAAAGTGGGCCCAGGTTATATTATCTGGAGAGTAGCTCAGCAGCCTATGTGGATGAAATAGTATTGACCTATGTTACAGAACTGAGGTAACAATTATTGATGCAATGTATGTAAAGTAATTTGAACAATCTAATGTTCAAATGGTAATAATATGTAGCATTATCTTTATAACCTTGCTTAGTCTGCCTATCAACAACAACACTAATGGTTTCACAGTGATACAACTGAAAAACTAGACAAGTTATTTATGTCTATTAGCAATGTAAATTAATACTCAAATCAGATCACAGTGACTAAATAACAGCTTTATTTTGTCATGATTTCATAATTGGGAACATGTACATTCAAACACTACACAGAAAGTGCCTGCTAAACACCAAATCACGAATGTGCAAGAAAATAGAACTTTCTCATTATAATTAATACAAATTCAAACTCTCTACTAAACATATTTTGACTTACTATCACAGTTCATATTCCTACTATGACAAAGTGGAGTTTGTGTGTGAACATTAACAGTGCAATCTTATATGTCCACTCAGAAGTATGTTCCATTGAGTTATGTGGGATTGCAGTCTTTAGGTAGCTGCAAGATTGTCAAGGGCAACTTTCAAATGTCTGATCCTGCAATTACAAATAATTGCTTGCTGAGCTTAGCTGACCTCAGTGAAGGTAGAGGATATTGGCAGGAAAAGTTAAGAGTGTGTCAATTTTAGTAACCTTTGTCATTTTCAGTAGTTTTTATGTGCACATGTAATATATGCCATTTATGAGTTTTAAAATACTAAATAATATAGGAATGGTCCTAAATGATATATTCTGATTAAGTGAAATTTAGTTCACAAAAGCTAATTGCTATACAAAATTTGTTAGTCCTTAAAGTGCCACAGAATTCTTTATTTCAAACTTTTCCCAGTTACATACATCTTTTATTTTCTTGGGAACTAATGTACTTCCACAAGTGCAAAAAAAGTTAAACAGTCTGAATATTTATCTGTAGAGCAATTAAGCCGTAAACTCATTGAATGGCCTTGGATGTCTATCACTGTCATACTTGCAGTCTAATTGAAACCATGTCCAGAATTCCACGCAGATACCAAGGCTTTTCAAATGCTGCTTTATAGGAAAAATGCCCCTAACGACTTGTTCCCAGTGTTTCTGGCAATATGCCCCTCTAAAGTACCACCCTTTCCTTTTGACACATGCTCATGTGAATGGTGTGGCTGCTGTGGTATGGAGTGACTGAGCTTGGTGGTTTTTGCCTCAATGAAAATGACTGGTTCAAATGAAACAAAATAAAAAAAAATCCTTCCAGTAGCACCTTAGAGACCAACTAAGTTAGCTATTGGTATGAGCTTTCGTGTGCATGCACACTTCTTCAGATGCATGCACAAGAAAGCTCATACTAATAACTAACTTAGTTGGTCTCTAAGGTGTTACTGGAAGGAATTTTTTTATTTTGTTTCGACTAAGGCAGACCACCACGGCTACCTACCTGGTTTAAATGAGTCTAAGACCTTCTGCATGCTCTACCACTGAGCTACAGCTTTTCCTGTGCAATTCTTATTAAGCAAAGATACCAGTTAATTACACAAAGAACAATATTGCCTCTCCCTTCTGAAGATCTTTTTGTGAGATAGTTCAAACTGCTGTCCTCTCTTTTTTAATTAAATTTTTGTGCCATAGTTAACAGTGGCCTCTAGCTATCAGATGCTAATAAAGTGTGTTTGACTGTAACATTGAGAACCACACAGAAATATGTGACAGACTATATAAACTACTTAAACCGTAGCATAACTTTTCACTGGAACACTAGCTGCACTTGCACTGTTTTTGTATAAAATATATAAAGAGACTTTGCAAAACATCAGACAAACATATCCAGCTCCACCAGCACTGAAACATCTCTTTTAAAAGATGTACTGTTCCTGCCCCCTATCCTGCAACAACAACTTTCTTAGAGATTTTGAGGCATTAACAGGAGCAATTCTGCTGCAGTGGAGGGGGGCTGTATGTGAGACGCACGTTCCTCCCGGCAGTAGTTGTCCTAGAAGCTTCCGAATCCATGCTCTCCGACATCTTTTCACAGATGATGTCCACCAGCCGCTCAAAGACCTGCCTCACGTTGACATTCTCCTTGGCGCTAGCTTCAAAATAATCAAACCCTGTTTTTTGTTTTTTAAAAAAGTACACAAATCAATATCTGCTTATCCCAAAACTGCTTCTCTTTGCTTTAAATTATCTGTTGTTCATATTAAACAGTTCATTTTGGTTTGTTTGTTTTTAAAAAAAAACCCAGGTGTCTAAGTTCAGAATAGATAAGGAGGTTTTATTAAAAGTGATGCTGTGTAAATCTCTAGTTTATGGTCTTTAAAATAAATAATATCAGTTGAAGTTCAAAAAGATCTTGCACCATATGAGTGTAGCCAGTGTTATTTTTCTAGAAAAAGAAGTGCCGGAACTCTCCATGAACACCACCCTCATTCTTAGAATGGCAATGGCACCCACCTGAGAGGTGCCAGAACTGAGTTCCAGTGAGTTCCGCCTGAAAAAAGCCCTAAGTGTAGCACAGTTGTAAAGGGGATTTATTATTATTATTATAAAGCATTGGGTATGTAAATGGTCCTCAGGTTAGGTGGACTGATTTAGTTGATGTGTGTTGTGTTGTATTGTATAGTCTTTTGGGGTGGGTTTGTTTTTATTCTTTTCTATTGTATTGCATTTTTTCCTTGCCCCATTTTTTAAAAAAACTTATTTTATAATTTTAACACATCAAACATTAAATACTAGCTCTATTCACATATTAAAATAAACAAATCTTAAATCAGGCATTGAAGCCCACGAAGAAAAAACCTACAACTACTACTAACAATATTTAAAGCTTACAAAACACTTTTAAAATAGTTTAAAGTAAAATGTCTTATAATGTCTGGATGCAGGTAGCGGCAGAGCAGTAGATAATATCAGCTTGGTAATCATAAAGTCATAGACAGGAACCAGCTAAAATTAGGAATAAAGCTTTATTGTGGTCCTTTGTTTTTAACCATGTTGTCAGAGGTGAAGATTTGGGAGTTGAGAACTGGGTTCAACATGAGAGGTTTGAATAAAATTAGGAATTAAGGAATTTCCATAAACACACTGATAACTCTTCTTACAAAAAAGCAAATGTTAGCAGTTTGGAATGCTCTTAATCTGGTGTTTGATATACTTCTTGATGTTCTAAAAAATCTGAGAAGGTATATAAGGAAGAGGCAGAACAAAATACACTGCTGATAAATTATGAGCAGTGTTAACTGTCATAGTAATTTGAATGTTGAATGTCGTGCTGATTCGTATGTCAACTACTAAGAATGGAAAATGGAATGACTTAACTGAAATATTTTCATAAGGTTATTAACAGGGCTGCTTCATCAGACCAGTTGTTTGAAATGAACAATCAGTGTTAACACAACAACCAATGAAAAGCTAAATGAGGAAAATTATATTTTATGCATGCCTGGGTACCTCTAATCCTCACTGCTGTGAAGCTCAGAACAGCTCCCAGTGCTCCCAACTATTTGACAAACAAAACTGTGCATCTGCTGCAAATAGTAGCAGCAGAAAGATAAATGATGCTTCCAGACAGGTTTTTATATTAGTATTGGTACTGGTCATTCATACAAGTTTTTCACAGTGCCTACACAAAATGCCAGCCTTGCCCACCTCAACTGAATCCAGATTCATCATTTTCACTGAAAATACAATCCATTAAAAAGCCTCTTGCCCATGACCTGTTTGTGGTATATAAATGAAAGCTTTGCAACATTATACCTCGGTCTGAAAGCACCCAGTAATTAGAGTGTCAGGCTAAGACTGTGGAGGCTCTCTCGCTGAGCCATAAGGCTCTCTGGTTGACCCTTGTTCAGCTGCTCTCTTGACAACACTGAGAGTACAAATAATAGGGCATGAGGTCACACATCACTCATAACACCCACAAACATTCATATCCCACAGTTTATTTCATTCTCTCTTTCACACACTCGCAGTCTCCCATGATGCCATCACTCCCAAAGACATATCTCAAAACAGCCATTAAGTCTCCATCACTCAGTCATGACACTTGAAAGCCAGCAAAACACAGTATGTTTTTTTAAAACCTCATTCTGCACTCTTCACCCCCTAGGAATACTGGAATTACCAATATCCAGCCAGTCAATATACAAAACCAGATTGAAACCTGACAAAACTCACTTCTCCTGCACACTCACACATACACAGACAGCAAGTCACGCAGGAATCGGAGCAAACATCCAGCTAACAGAACTCGACAGTAGTGACACACCGGTATGTGCCCAAAGGAAAAAAGATAGGAAGCAAAAAGTTCAGCCGTGACCAAATGGGACATTCAGCTTACAGTTCAACTCAGTTCACTTGGGTAGCAGGCAGGGTTGGACCAAGACATTTTACTGGCTGAGGCGAAAGGCAAGAAGGTGCCCCTCCCCATTCCACCTAAGAGAAGTCTATTAGACCTGCAGTTGGATTGTAGTTCAACATTGACAACATCTTTCACCGCAACTGTGACAGAAGGCTAGACAGAGGGGAATAGTCAATGGGCTTATTAACAGTCTATGTCCCTTTAAATGTGTTTGTGGGAGGGGGGTTATTGATTTATTTTGTGTTTTTATTTTGTATTTTTATGCTGTTAACCACCCTGGGATCTTGAGGTGAAGGGTGTTACACTCATTTAATAAAAAAATAAAATCACATAAATAATAAAGAAATATTAAAACCCAATTATCTGAGAAAGTAGATGAGGGTGCAATTAGGATGCAACTAAGGGATACAGAACCTAGCCCTCAAGATGATACTGGACTACAACTTCCACCATCCTTGACCATTGGTCATGCTGGCTGGGGCTAATGGGAGTTGGAATCCAACAACATCTGGAGGGCCATTGGTTCCCCATCCCTGCTTATAACTGGAGGGAGAAGGGATCAAAAAAAGTAAAATGTTAACATGTACCCAACTGATCAGCCAGATGTTTTCCCTTTTCAAAAGGAACGATTCTCTCATCCTCCATGTCACATTTGTTTCCAACCAGAATGACTTGGGCATTATCCCAGGAGTAGGTCTTTATTTGAGTAGCCCTGTGGGAGAAGAAAGGATTCGCGGTGAGAGTAGTAGCCAATAATGTGTCACAGTGTGAATGCACTAAACCTCTACTCCCAAATGACAAAACACAAAGACAATATTGACAGTTAACATATTGTTGATTTTGCAAAAGCAATGCAATCGTCCCAGTTTAGGAATTTCAATGAAATTTTTTAGCCAAAACCTTTGTGCATTTCAGTGGTGTGCAGTCAGTGGACCAGGGGGACTATGCTGGTCCCTTCAATGATCTCGCTAAATTAAAGTATTAAAGCCTGGTGCCTCCTTCCCAAAGCCTGGGAAACTTCTGCTGGGCTTAGGGCCAGAGGCTTGTGTGTGTGACACCCCCCCCCTCCATGGCCTTCGCAAGCTGGTGCCTCTGATCCTAACTGTTCCCCTATGAAAAATTTCACAGCACACCACTGGTGTGTTTGCTGATCCGTTTTGAGGAATATAATATGGAAAAGTGTGCTTTGAAAAAAGATATACTCAGCCTTCAGCTGAGCTGCTGGCTTCTGACAGTTCCAGTTCTGTACCTGAAGGTTTAGTTAGGAAAGCTTATAATTATTAATAAAAGTAGCCTGTATATTGAACTCAGATGTTCAGCTTTTCTTGTAAGATTTTTCAAAGTATGGTGCTGTCCCTCTTCAGCTGAAACTAGATCAGAGCTCCCAGATGTGCCTAATATTCCATGTTTTGTTCACACATACGCACACAAATGCATTATAGCTTGCCAGTGACTACTTATTGATCCTGTTCATTTTAACTTGTGTTTCTGGGAATTTGGAGTTTATAGGTCAGTCACAGTAGCATCAGTGCTTTCTAGATCAGTTTCAAGGATTTGTCCTAGGTTGTATGAAAATATATTGAAGCTGCACCTTTTTAAAACAATCATAAGCTTTCATTAGGTTGCAATCCTAACCCCACTTACCTGGGAAGAAGCCCTATTGAATTCAATAGGATGGTTAGAATTGCTCTGCCAATTTTGTTTAGTATATTAACCAACTCAATTTTTAGTTGAAGTTCCAAATTAATGGCTCACTTGTTTATTTTTGAAGCTGTTAATTTCCGCTAGTTTTTGGTATCTTGTGGATATCTTTAATTAACTAATCTGAAGATTAATCAATTAAAAATGTTAAAAATTTAACAACATTTCTACATAATTTTAGGGTGGTTACATATGCATCTCCAAAAAAAGAGAGGAATCTTATCACCAAAAGAGACTGCAAAAGACAAATATTTGAATGACATTTGTCTGTGCTAATTTATATGTATCAATTCAAATTTAGAAAGAAATTCCTATAATTTAAATAGAAATGCAGCACCTCTCAGCACAGTTTTGGCTTTGGAATGCATCTGTGGCCAAAGAAACAAACCAAAGCATCCCAAATCCAGCAGGGGGAGCTAAGAGATATAAAATTGATGAATCATCTTCATCCCAAATTCATTGCTATCAATTAACCATATATATATAATTCTATAATTCCTCATGAGAAGAGAAGACTCCCTGGAAAAGACCCTGATGTTGGGAAAGATGGAGGGCACAAGGAGAAGGGGACGACAGAAGACGAGATGGTTGGACAGTGTTCTCGAAGCTACCAGTTTGAGTTTGACCAAACTGCGGGAGGCAGTGGAAGACAGGAGTGCCTGGCATGCTCTGGTCCATGGGGTCACGAAGAGTCGGACACGACTGAATGACTAAACAACAACAATATAATTCTAATATATTGCATTACAGTGGAATATTCTATCACAGTTTGGAGGAATCTTGAGTTGTTGTAGTCATACCTAAACATATGGTCAAAAATGTTCCTTTCATCTTAAGAACATAAAAACGTCAGAAGAGCTCATGTGGTCCAGGAATCCTGTACTCACAGTGTGCAAATGGATGGTTATGAGAAACCCACAAGCAGGCCATGAGGGCAATATCCTATCTTCAGTGCTCTCCCACTTGTGATATCCAGTAACTAGGATACAGAGGTACCGGTATATCATTTCTGACAGCGGAGGCAGAAACTAGCCACCGTGGTTAGTAGCCATCAATAGCCTTATTTCTTCTACATCAAGCATAGGCAAACTCGGCCCTCCAGATGTTTTGGGACTACAAATCCCATCATCCCTGACCACAATAGAAAGTGTCCTTTCATACTGCATCACGGTATAGTATGCTGGTTTGACATCAACTGATAGGAAGTGCCTACAGAGGGTGGTGAATACAGCACAAGATTAGTCGCACCAACAGGGTAAAGAACAGCTGCTATCCATGGGCTATTAGGCTGCTGAATGAAAAGATAACAATAGGGCAACTGACTTTCGGGTTTGGTGGGTGGATGTCAGTAAACGAGGGGAACCAAGACTAAGAGAGCTGAGGGGGGGGTGCTCGTGTAATCTCACTGTATACATGTTGTACAAGTGATAATAAAGTATTTCAATTCAATGGGAGTTGTAGTCCCAAAACATCTGGAGGACTGAGTTTGCCTATGCCTGTTCTGCATGAAATAGCTTTATCCTCTTTTAAAGCCATCCAGGTTTGTGGTCATCACTACATCTTGTAGGAGCGAATGTCAAAGTTTCATTATGAACTTTTGTCTGTCCGGAATCTTTAGTTTAGGTAAATGCTGCTTACTGCTATAAGCAGTGGTCTCTGAACACATAATGCACACATTTCCTCAATAGTATTTAATGTTATTCTTGGATACATCCCTCTCAGTGATATGGAGCTCAATCCACTCAACATATCCCCCGTAGGGAGATGTTGGCAGTGCCGTTTTTGCTGTCCCCCCCCCTAAAAATAGCATTTATTTATTTTTTTGCAATTTTGCTTTAAAAAGCTCAACAAATTTTCACTGTTTGAAATATGGCAACCCTATCCCCCTGTATCTCCCTGTTCCCATTTATTTCAACAAAGCTTGCACCAGTAAGACTGCTGATGGATTATGCCTATGGAGCCTGATTTCTGATTCAGAAGCAACCTCCACCTTCCGATTAATTCCTGACAATGTTTAATTACTTCTGGACAGCCCACGTCATGCCTCTCATACCAAAAGCAATGTCAGTCAGTCAGTCCATGAATATTCACAAGGCAGGATGCTCTGTGATGGATGGCAAAGCTTACCTTAAATAAACTCCGCTGCGGAACAGAATTTGTGGCAGCTAATCTAAAAAGAGCCAGCTGCGATAGTTTTCAAACCAGAATGCTAAGATCATCTTCGCACTTTCAGCAATCTGCAAAGTGTCATTAACATCAAATATTTGTGGTGTGTTCCCCTCCCCCTGCCATAATCCTATAGAAGAAATAAGGGGGTTAGGATCCTACAGATTCAAGAACACCACTGGCTTGCCTCCAGAATGCTCTTCGGGTTCTATCATGGGCAGGAACACCAATGCCCACATTCTCTTCGGATTCTATAATGGGCAGGTACATCTATGCCCACAAACATTCTGATGCCATGCTGACAGTGGGGGTGGGGTGGGGAGAGGCTCTGGGGCAAAATGCCAACCTATCAACAGACCTGTCTCTCCATGTGAAGTGGCACCTCCACTGCATATTGTGGCTCATCGGCCAGCACCTGAGGTTCCTTGGGATTGCTCCCTTACCATGTCTGCTCTTAAGAACTGAATGAATGAATGAATGAATGAATGAATGGCTACGTTCCAGTTGAATGGCTGCTGTGGGAATGACCTAAAAATGGCATCCAAACTGATAGAACCTCACAAGTTTTGAATTCCTCACACACGTGTATGTCTTTTGATTTGAAAACTGCAATTCATCCTCCCATTCTGTGTACCTTGGGTAGGCTCATTCAGTATGGAACTGAATGAATGACTGCTGCCCAGTCCAAAGAAATCACATTATGATTAAGCTCTCTTTCCTGCTTCACCAGTGCAAAACTGATGGGAAAGAGCAAGTAAAAACAGTGATAACCTGGGAGAACAACACTGCAGGCACCTAAACAGTATAAGCAGCCTTCATTGCTGTCTATGGGAAGAACTATAAAGCTCTGATACTCAAAGGTTGGGCTGGGAGCCTATGTAGCTCTGCTGAGCTGGCTTAGCTCTTTAGCATAAACCAAATCCAGTGGTTTCAGTGTTTAGCTCAGTTTAATCAAACCTTGATTAATTTTAACTTTTACTAATACCAGGATTTATGGGTGTCTTGCACCCAGACTCTGACCCCCAAACCTTATAACATTATGCATTGACTCTCCATTTCTTTCAAGTGCCTTTTCAGTCTCTTTTCTCAGCTCAGAACCTTCCCTTCCCTTCCCTTGCCATCAGCTGCTGTTTTATTTCTCTGAGGAAGGCAGAGCTTCCTCCCCATGACTTCCAGAGCTTCTGTCCCATTCATTTTCTGGGCAGTCTGCTGGGTTTTGAGAACGCTAGAGCAGTTAATGCACCCACCATTCTGCACACACAAACACAGGCGTTGTGCCTGCCATTCTTCCTATGCACACACTGTTCTTCACACATAGCTATGCTTGCTTCCTCCCACTCAGCTGTCCTACAGCTGGTGGGGAGCAGCGAGCGGACCGTTTGGGCAGTGTGGAGCCTGCACGCGCCCAAGCCACCGCGTCTCTCCCAGGAGTGACACGTGGCTTGGACGCACTGCAGGCCCCTTGGTGAGTGCTGCCCGGCATTTTGTCACCGCCTCAGTGGTGACACCCGTGGTGGTCCGCACCCACTGCATCCCCTTTCCTCCACCCCTGAGTAGACCACAAGCTTAACATGGGTCAATGGTGTGATGCAGCAGCAAAAAAAAGCTAATGCTATTCTAAGCTGCATCAACAGAAGTATAGTGTCCTGATCAAGGGAAGTAACAGTCCTGCTCTATTCTGCCTTGATTAGACGGCACCTGGAATACTCTGTCCAGTTCTGGGCACCACAATTTAAGAAGGATATTGACAAGCTGGGATGTGTGCAAGCCTTATGAGGAACGGCTGAGGGAGTTGGATGTTTAGCCTGGTAAAGAGGAGACGGAGAGAAGTTATGATAGCCATCTTCAGATATCTTAAGGGTTGCCACATGGAGGATGGAGCAAGCTTGTTTTATTCTGTTCTGGAGGCTAGCACCTGGACCAATGCATTCAAGAACGGAGATTCCAACTAAGGAGGTTTTTAAGCAGAGGTTGGATGGCCACCTATCATTTAGCTGAGATTTCTGCACTGCAGGGGTTGGACTATATGGCCCTCAGATTCCCTTCTAGCTCTACAATTATATGATCTGCCACTCTGCTGTAGAAGCTCTATTTGCCATTCAAAAAGCAATACTTTACAGTGGTGCCTCGCAAGACGAAATTAATCCGTTCCGCGAGTCTCTTCGTCTTGCGGTTTTTTCGTCTTGCGAAGCACGGCTATTAGCGGCTTAGCGGCTATTAGCGGCTTAGCTGCTATTTACGGCTTAGCGGCTTAGTGGCTATTAACGGCTTAGCAGCTTTAAGAAAAAGGAAACAAACTTGCAAGAACTCGCAAGACGTTTCGTCTTGCGAAGCAAGCCCATAGGGAAATTCGTCTTGCGGAACGACTCAAAAAAACGGAAAACCCTTTCGTCTAGCGAGTTTTTCGTCTTGCGAGGCATTCGTCTTGCGGGGCACCACTGTATATCATTGAATTGTAGAGTTGGAAGGGACCCCCAGGGTCATCTAGTCCAACCCCCTGCAATGCAACATGGGGCTCAAACCCACAACCCTGAGATTAAGAGTCTCATGCTCTACCAACTGAGCCATGCTAGCACCTTGTGTATATACCTGTATATATACCTGTATAGATAATACTGCTTTGGTTTCTCTTTTCTGATTCCAATCTGATTCCAATCTGATTCCAATCAGCTATAGCATGCTTTGTTTTTTATTTCGGCACCATCACACATTCCATCCCAAGGTGTTAACCCATAAAATTGTATGCAAGCCACCTGCCTCCATTAAAAAAACCCTGTCTTCAATACAATAGTCATTTCAAAAGAAATGTTTTGCTTCATAATGGCTTAAAATTTCCATCCCTTATTTTTCTCAAAGTGTGCTCCCCTGATTTCTCAGAAACAAATTAAGTTAAATCATACAAGAGTGCACCAGCTAATTTACAGGCTTTTAATGTTTTAGCTCTGAAACGACAGATTTCTTCAAGGACATATGGCAATCTCTTACAAAGCCATTAAAAAGCTCACATCACAGGAGATAGAAAACTGTGTGAGTTCTCTCAAATAGCTTGCAGAATTTTTTCTTATATACTGTATAGGCAAAATGTGTAGCTGTTTTCCGAAGTTACTTAGAATGCTATGTTTTCAAAGTTGGTTTGATAGGTCCCCTGCTGGCTTTTGGTTAGTGAAGTGTTTTTAGATTTTATTTATTTATTTATCCCCACTGCCTTAGGTGTCAGCCAGCCTTCTGTTCCTTCTGGGATTTGCAACCATCTCTTTACAAAATCTTGTACATGTGGAGACAAGAGCGCTGCATTGTCAGCCAAGGAAAGGAAGCTGGCACTTGAGAGAGGAGAAATAAGCTGCGAGCAATAGTTGCCCTTGCCTGAACAATCTCAAGTCACTTCCACAGAATGACAAGATGATGAAACTGAGAAATGAATTTGGCCTTTGCCATTATTCATTCGTATCATGTGCTTTTCCGGCTCTGGAAGAAACCGCAATGTTTGGCGCATCTTGAAAACTGACTGCACACATTTTAACTTTATATAGCAAGAGGCACTACTTGTGAAGTGTGTGTCCTATAAACATTCAGGATGCTTTAGCCTCAGACTCATTTTTTCGCATTGCAGGATTTTGCTTTTATTTTTAAATAATCAATCACTTCCCCATATCTTGTGCAGTTTGAAGGATGGCTACATTTTGGTCTGCATGTTGTTTCTGAAAGTGCGAATTAGGTGGGTTTGCCTTTAAATGCAATCTGAACTGAATTCCCTCCCCCAAGTAGTAACAGAACAGTCCTATTCATATCTAAGGCAAAGGTAAAGGGACCCCTGACCATTAGGTCTAGTCGTGGCCGACTCTGGGGTTGTGGCGCTCATCTTGCTTTACTGGCCAAGGGAGCCGGCGTACAGCTTCCTGGTCATGTGGCCAGCATGACTAAGCCGCTTCTGGTGAACCAGAGCAGCACACGGAAACGCCGTTTACCTTCCAGCCGAAGTGGTACCTATTTATCTACTTGCACTTTGACGTGCTTTCGAACTGCTAGGTTGGCAGGAGATTCATATCTACTCAATGGCAAATCCCACTGAATTCAATGGGATTTATCTCCTGAGAAGTGTATACAGCAGTGCAGCATAAGACTGGCCCTTAATATTACATTTCAATTGAAATGGGTAGAGCTTACTTCTCTACTGCAGAAATTTCTCTTCCCTACCTCCCCCCCCCATTGTCACATGATGGAGACACAGTAAACAAAATCTACCCTAAAATGTCTCAAATTTGATTATAAGCAATACCGTTTTGTAGATTACATAGGCATAGGCTTCAAATAATGTTGCAAGGTGTATTTCTGACCCAGAGTGATCCTATTACGCCGACTAATGGGGAAGGTTTGACTCTGTCTGCATGCATTAGAGAGGGCAGTGATCACTTCATCCTAATTGACATAGTACAACTGAACTACAAGAAAAATATTTCTCATTTAATGAAAGCCATAGCTCTAATTAGAGCTGCTACTGTGCTGTGTGGAATAATTATTACAAGAAGGTGTGATTTAAAGGAGAAAAGGATGTCAGCTTCTTGGGAAGTGTTATACTGGCAGTCACAGAGACAGAGTTGCTACTTTTTTTCTGGTTCCCATATCATTAACAGCTGTCTGACAGGCAGAAATTCAATGGGTGTACTTTCACCATCTGCTTCTCCATGATGGGGTAAGCTGCACTTGTTGAATTTTTGTCTTTATACACAAAGGTGTTTTAAAAGTCAGAGGAGTTTTAAAACAATGTGGCAACCCTATAATGGAAAAAAGGAAAACAGGTTGTCAGCAAGCAGACACTTTTACTAGTTTGAACTGGCTTTTTTTTTTTTTTTTTTGGTGCTAGAAGAGGGTTGGGGAAATAGACTAACAGTCAAGTTTTCTTACTGTAATGCATATGTACTACTGTCTGTCAAAGTTGATTGACACCATTAAAACAGTAATCCTATATATGTCTCATTGTCAGTGTGGCTTATTCCCCGGTAGGGATGGGAAACAAATTTCATTCAGTTCATATTTGGAGGTGAATCAACCAAATCTGCACCTTCCAAAGCAATACGCAAACCGAAATATAGCCATTAATAAACACACACACACACACTTTTCTAACTTTTGCAATATACTTCTCCAGTCAAGTGTGGCTGTGTTTCAGTTTGCATATTGTTTTATGAAATGCAAATTAGGTATGTTTGTCTTTAAATGCAAACTGCATTGGATTTCTCTGCCATTTTTACTTGTGTCATTTGACAGATGTGTAAATCAGCTACAGCATCTCTTGGCCAGCTACACTGGTGGCAGAGAGCAAGACAAATGCTGCTGTTCTTAGTTGGCTAGCATGATAGCACAGAAGGCAAGCTCCTTTGATCTGGCTACTGATGTCTAGCAGAACAATCCCATCTGTATTTACCCAGAAGTCTAATGAAATTTGATGGGTCTTACTCCCAGGTAAGATTAATTAGGATTGCAGCCTTGTTTAGGTACTTTAAGGAACCTAGCTCAAGATGTTTAAAGGTAAAGGTAAAGGTACCCCTGACTATTAGGTCCAGTCGCGGACGACTCTGGGGTTGCAGTGCTCATCTTGCTTTACTGGCTGAGGGAGCCGGCATACAGCTTCCGGGTCATGTGGCCAGCATGACTAAGCTGCTTCTGGCGAACCAGAGCAGTGCACAGAAACATCGTTTACCTTCCCACCAGAGTGGTACCTATTTATCTACTTCTACTTTGATGTGCTTTCAAATGTATTTTGCTATAAGGGCTAGTCATTTGAGAAATCCTGTAAGCTGGAGTCTTGGCTGGTTCCAAGCTCTTTGACCAGTGGTATAAGACATGCTACTCCCTCTGAATTTTACATCTAATCAGCTACACTGGATCAGAATCAGATGGTTAGAATGAGAATTATTTTTTCTGGAAAGGTTGTTGCAGTGTTTGAAGGTTGGACCACGTACTGTCACACAGATGGTAAAGTGATGTATAGCTTCTGGTAATACATAAGCTTTCTGCATAATTGGAATGACACTGTGATCTCATAAATAAACATTAGATAGGACTGATGTTCACTGACATTGTGAAATGAACTTCAGGCTTGGCAATTAATGCCATCAGTAGAATAATTTGGCTGAAAAATTGTTCCAGGGCGGAAAAAATGTCCTGATGTGCAGGAATGGAGCATCTTTGAGGATAAGGCTGAAATCTTGTGCATATTTACTCAGTATCAGTTCTACTAATTTCATTGGCAGCTATTTATGAGTACAGAAATGCAGGACTGGGCTAGGAACTTTTTAAATTGTGTGTGTGCATTTTTTATAGACTCAGGCAGAGTAATTAATAGTAGTATTAATAATTTGATTGCGATTATGTTTAAGCTCTTGAGCTTCCTTCTTTCATCTTATAAGATGTGGTGTGAGTTGATCACTGAGTGGATTGCATGGTAACCGGAAAATGAAACTATCACAGAAGTAGCAATTATCTGTTCCTACCAGTCCTGAATAGCATTGAAGGACTCTTCACAAGTAATATCGTACATAAGGATAAACCCCATTGCTCCTCGATAATAGGCAGTGGTAATTGTCCTGTACCTTTCTTGTCCAGCAGTATCCTAAACAACGACAAGAAACAGAAGCATTAGGCATCAAGTACTCTTGCTGAAAACAACATAAACCCATCGAGCTTATCTGCATGAGGGGCACTTCATAAATTAAGTTTTATTTATGTAGAGGTAATCTCTTTGTAGGAAAATGGGCATTTATTGCTTTGTCTGAATACCAGTATCAGTAGGTTTGGTTTGGTTGGTTGGTTGGTTGGTTGGTTGATTGCTTTAAGGATTTCTAAACCAGCTTCCTTACAATATGAAAATGGAAAACAACAACAAACAAATTACAAAGTTATCATAAATACAATACTAAATAATAGATATAATAAAACCTTGCACAACAAAGAACCTAATCAGACCTTTGTCAAAAAGTGTTGTGTTTCTTGGAATCCTCTCAAATCATTTCTGTATTGGCATTTTGCATCTATAGGTTTTGCACAGGATAAAAACATGACTAGAGCACTGAAAAATCAACCGTGTCCAGACTGGATCATAGAGCTAAAAAAAATTATTATTACGTGAAGGCTGATTATCAGTGAATAAAGATTCAGGGAAGGGGGATGGGACACCATTGGGAGCTTTCATTGGTATTGCTAATGGCAGCATGGGAGCGATTTCCATCAGGACTGTGGCTGGGCAGTCATGAAGTAAGGGGCAGCATTCTCATGTGGATCAGGAATAGGTGAGGCAACAGGAAGCAGAGAGTAGGACCAAATAAGACAGTTTTTCCAATGGAGGAATATAGAAAGTACAGTTCCCCGAAGGATCAGTATTGGAACTTGTGCTTTCTAAATTGTTCATAAAAAACCTAGAGTTAGGGGTGACCAAGTTTGGTGATGATACCAAATTGTTTGGCATCATTAAAATGAAAAGAGATTGCAAAGCGCTCCAAAATGGCCTCTCCAAACTGAGTGAATGGGAAGTAACAACAAATGCAATTCAATGCAAACAAATATAAAGTAATACATACAGGGGCAATAATAATAATAATTTCACATATATGTTCATGGGGTCTGAACTGGCAGTGTCTGACCAAGAACGAGACATCTACAAGTCTTACATATGACTTATTAAATTACTGTTCAATTGAAACCTTTTTCCTGTTCACGGCAGAAAGGAAGTTAGAAGAATCTTGAGGTGAACCCCTGTCATTCTCTCTGTGAGTGCTTTCTCACAGCTTTGTTGAAGCCTTTGTACCTGGTACAAATTTTGGTAATGAACGTGACTTGCACCCCTTGTGCTGCTGGGCTGGGGAAACAGAATGCCGTACCAAAACAGCAGAGTGTGCTAACTAAGAATATTTATACAATATAGTCATGCATGGGGAAATGCTTTTGGACCTGTACTACCATGCTTGGTCATAACTTGCTCTAGGGGTCCAGCATTGTGGGAGCAGCTCAAGTTTTAATTCATCTGATAGAGGTTTTGCTTTTTATCTATATCAAGCTTCTGCCATTGCTGAAGTTGCAGAGTAGTGGTAACTGCCTCAGTATTTTCAGTTGGGATGTTCTCATTCCCTGCCCACTGCCTGTACCTTGATATTTTCTGACTCTTTTAAAGGAGACATATTAGGTGCCACTTGTGCAATATCTAACGAAGTAGTATATTTAGTATGTGTCTGTGAATATCCATAGTTAAACAAATAGAAACAGCTCTGCTCCTTTGATTTCTTTCCCTAGCAACATTATACAGAAAATAATTGTGCCTTTATTTCACCCTTCAACCGATAGCACTGTTTCTGTTTCCCAATAAAATTATTTTTGTTACCCATTTCCTGAAAACCCTTTTAGCATTTTTGGGTTTTCTTCTCAGCCTACCCTTCAAAAAGGAGGACCGGGTCTTGCAGCATCCCCAAGCGCTTCACCTGATCACAAAAGGCACCACAACTCCTCTGTTTATGTTATCATTGTGTTTGTAGGGTTTCCAGATCTTGTAATATTTGCAGAAGCAGCATCATCAGAAGAGAACAAACAGCATTCATCTGAGTGACACCGTCTCCCTACCACTTTATTTCCCCAACATCTGGTTAAATGAGCTACTTGCTTCCATAAACAGTGACTCCTGAGTGTAAGTCTGCCAACCTCATGGCCTTCTTACGACATCAATACACTGCTAGGGAATTCTGATAAGCTATTGGGTTATGGAAAGGGATAGAAATATACATGCCATGGGAAACATTTCATGAGATTCTTATTTTACTTTGAGGATTAATCATACGTATATTATTCTGAGCACCTTTGTGCCTAAGCAAACACTGAATGTCTCCAGTGAAAAAATTAAAAACAATACAGTACTTCAAAATTTAAAAACAAAAGACAAATAGTATGCTTTCAGATAAGGTTTGCCCCTTATTGCTATCAATATGTGTTGTACTAGGAATGTTCATGTTATACTCTAATAATCACATCACTTTGGACTGGTGTCTGGTAAAAGAAGTTAATTCTCCACTGGAAAATTTTCCACACATGGCAACTATTATAATAATTCAGTCTGCCTGTTGTTACTCATGACAACGTAAAATGGAAGACCTGCAGTTAGCGTTTGGCTGTTGAAGGCAGATATGTTTTACCTTGAGGTGATCTTGGGGGTGGGGGGATATGCAGAGAAATCATGACACTTTTGAGGACAACCCAGTAATCCTATTTCCTAACAGTTATTTAAAGTGGTTGCAATTAATCTTTCTGGCCTTCACGATGCCTCAAGAGGTGATGGTTTGAAAATATTTGAGAATTACTGGAACAGACTGCTTAGCAGTTTTATGACAATAAGGTCTTGTTTTCTGAGATGGCTCTCCAGCTGAACTGGCAACCTAGAAGTGAGAAAGCTTTGACAGCATTTTAATCTGTTTCCCCTCAAAGTGCAACCTGTAGACCAGACATTCAAAGTGTTTACAAATACATGTTTGTTTTTAAAAAATCCATTTGCACATATTTCATCCATCTCTCAGCAATTAGAGAGATGCTCTGAAACAGCAGCAGAAAAAAACGAGGGCCTTATCTTGGAGGCGCACACCTGATGTGTACAGCACCTTTTCTTCCCTGCTGTGTTCAGGTTTGTGCTGGTGGTATTTTTAAAAAATCAAATGGCAGTGTACAGGTTTTCAAGCTCCGCTTTTTAAAAGGTTTCAGGCATTGAATATGATTAATAGAGAAGTCTCCTCTTTCTTCTACCCACTCCAGGGGGTGACGGAGACTGAAAGGTCCTTATGCCTCAGATAACTTAGCCAGGAAATTCAGCAACTGCCAAAAGAGCTCCATGGGCAGGGGTGGCAGAACCTGTGGCTCTGGCCATTGGTCATGCTGGCTGAGAGCTGATGAGAGCTGTGGTCTATCAACATTGGATTTAAGTGTGATTTTCTGCTAATAAACACATTTTGGATGCTGTTTTGACTAATGTACACTTTTTTGTAAGGAGTGGAGTTCCTAAGATGATTGGATGGCACACTGTTTGCCTCCTTCCATCAGCTCCTGCAGCCAAGCTGGTGCCAAATGTATTGCTCTGCTTTCCTTTGGACCACATCAGTGAGGCCAAAAGGTGGGTATTCTCGTCAGAGCAGCACACTGCTCAAGCTTGCACCCTAGAGAGATCACTTTGGTGTTGCTAACGCAGCAAAAACAACATGGGAGGCAGCAATTATGAGATACCGCTCTGCAGACACAGCAGGTGCTGTGATTCTCCAGCTATTTGAGTTCACCCCCAGAAGTACACTCCATTTTATTGATACAGACAGAAGCCAACAAGAAATTTTTCAGACAGCGCAGATTTGATAGATTTGCCCTTGAATGCAAACTCAACCAAATTTCTCCCCAACCACAGTGCTGATGTTTCAACAAGTGGCCTTTGTTGCCATACTCCTACTTCTGTAATAATAAAAGGAAATGCTTAGGGCTGCTTAATGCTCTGAATGTAGGGGTTACGCATGTGCCAGACTTTCTGTAGATTAAAGTAATTTCTCTCTCACAGCCTTCTTGAACTGATGTCCAACTTCAGCTTAAAGCACCTTGGAATCCAATTATGTTGCTGAAAAAGGGAAAGGAATCTCATCAGTCCAGCCTCTTTTCATCATTCTCCCCCAAATATCTCCAAAAGACAGACGCTAACTTACTCCAGCAAGCCTCTCCAATGCCGCAGGAGACTTTTGGAGAGATTTGAAAAAAACAGCAAGATTCAGGGCTGATTTTAATTCCCCTCCTTCGTCTCATGAACATGACTGAATCCTAAGGTTCATGAAGCTGAAGTTGGACATCAGTTGGCGAAGGCTGGGAGAGAGAAATTATCTTAATTTGCAGAAAGCCCGGCACACACATAAACCCAACTCAGATCACCAAGTAGCTACAGTTTGTTTTTAATATTACGGATCTTTTGCAATTCTGTTTAAAAGTAATATATATTTATTTAAAGAACAAACTACAGTTTACTCCTGTTAGCTAACAGGAAGAGGAAGGGGAGAGTGATCAAGGGGCAGGAGGTGGAGGGGGGCATGAAACACTTGGCATATTTTCTGCTGGGTTCCACCCACTGGTGTGAATGGAAAGCAGCAGAATATGCAATTAATGTGTTGAGTGAAAACACACAAGTGTGCTGACCCTAATGTGCTCTTCGCACATACATTAAAAAATGGATCTGAATGACCCATCTGCAAGATAATGCCCCTATGTACACAGCCTTACTGGAAATCCTTTTCAGTTTGAATATGAATACTTATCCAATCAAAGAATGTAGACCTTGGTTATATATATGTGAACCTCTGCTCAGCTGTTAGGGCTTCTGCCAATTAAAGAAGTGTAGTTGATTAATTGAATGCCTTTAAGCCAATGAATAACGCTAGCAAGGTTATGCTTAAAATTCTACAAGGAAGGCTCAAGCAGTATGTGGATCGAGAACTCCCAGAAGTGCAAGCTGGATTTAGAAGAGGCAGAGGAACCAGAGACCAAATTGCAAACATGCGCTGGATTATGGAGAAAGCTAGAGAGTTCCAGAAAGACATATACTTCTGCTTCATTGACTATGCAAAAGCCTTTGACTGTGTCGACCACAGCAAACTATGGCAAGTTCTTAAAGAAATGGGAGTGCCTGATCACCTCATCTGTCTCCTGAGAAATCTCTATGTGGGACAAGAAGCTACAGTTAGAACTGGATATGGAACAACTGATTGGTTCAAAATTGGGAAAGGAGTACGACAAGGCTGTATTTTGTCTCCCTGCTTATTTAATTTATATGCAGAATACATCATGCGAAAGGCTGGGCTGGATGAATCCCAAGCTGGAATTAAGATCGCCGGAAGGAAGATCAACAACCTCAGATATGCAGATGACACAACCTTGATGGCAGAAAGTGAGGAGGAATTAAAGAACCTTTTAATGAGGGTGAAAGAGGAGAGCGCAAAATATGGTCTGAAGCTCAACATCAAAAAAACGAAGATCATGGCCACTGGTCCCATCACCTCCTGGCAAATAGAAGGGGAAGAAATGGAGGCAGTGAGAGATTTTACTTTCTTGGGCGCCATGATCACTGCAGATGGTGACAGCAGCCACGAAATTAAAAGACGCCTGCTTCTTGGGAGAAGGGCAATGACAGGCCTAGACAGCATCTTGAGAAGTAGAGATGTCACCTTGCCAACAAAGGTCCGTATAGTTAAAGCCATGGTCTTCCCAGTAGTGATGTATGGAAGTGAGAGCTGGACCATAAAGAAGGCTGATCGCCGAAGAATTGATGCTTTTGAATTATGGTGCTGGAGAAGACTCTTGAGAGTCCCATGGACGGCAAGAAGATCAAATGCATCCATTCTTAAGGAAATCAGACCTGAGTGCTCACTGGAAGGACAGATCGTGAAGCTGAGGCTCCAGTACTTTGACCACCTCATGAGAAGAGAAGACTCCCTGGAGAAGACACTGATGCTGGGAAAGATGGAGGGCACAAGGAGAAGGGGGCGACAGAGGACGAGATGGTTGGATAGTGTTTTTGAGGTTACCAGCATGAGTTTGACCAAACTGCGGGAGGTAGTGGAGGACAGAGGTGCCTGGCGTGCTCTGGTCCATGGGGTCACGAAGAGTCGGACACGACTAAACGACTAAACAACAACAACAAGCCAATGAATTGGTTAATTCATTGCTTTAAGTTTCTTCACCAAAACCTCAATATAGGTGCTTTTTAGAGATCCTGAAGGATGCTAAACTCAGTGTTAGGAAGATAGGCCATCTTTCATCATTTCATTGCAATTCTCTGTTGTGATGACACACAAGAACCAAAACAACCCAGCCAATTAAAATTCACCCTTATTGATTAAAATAAGCCCATACCTATTAATCAACCAGCTTGCAGTCCCTAGTGATAGTCCCACAGAGTCCACCTTTAAAGGTCTGAAAATAGGACTTTCCCCATAATTTGAGTGAAATGATGGATGTGAATCTACTTCATATAGGTAGTGGAAAGAACTACAGAAATTCTTCATTCACACACTTAAATCACACTTCATTTACAGCAAGAGGAGGCATTTGTGGCAGCCGGGAATGAAATGACAAAAAGGACAAGCCACACTTGCAACAGAATGGATAAAAGCAGGAGTTATACACACACCTGGGTTGTTAGGAAGGATTCTTAGTGGCAGACGGGCATGCATTTGTGGTGGTAGCAGGAAAGATATATATATAACTAGACTGATATAAGCCTATATGTTGTTAGTTAGTATATGTTGGAATGTCAAGTCCAACTACTCACAACCATCCCTTAATTCTCATCTCTCCCATGATGCCTTGCTGTCAGGAGCCAAAGTCAGAGGCAGCTCAGCAATAAAACATCTGGTGTCAGTGAAGTTAACTCTTTATTCAAAGAAACCAAAATCATACAGACCGAGTGATCGCAGCAACACTTCCCAGTAGGTCTTGCCCCACTGAGGCAGTTGTGAGGACTGAATGTCCCTGCCCTCCCACAGCTCTCTAAGCTTCCTCCCCCAGCAGCCTAAGGCTTCTTTGTCTTATCTCTCTTTGCTCTACCTTCTCCATTCCCCCATTCCCAGGGGGAGGGGAGCTGGTCACAGCAGGAGGGGGAAACTCCCTGGCTTCTTCAGAGGCCTGCCTCCACTCTGCCTCTTGGCGCCCTGCCCCTGCTTCTGCCTCCGATACTGGACTGTTCTCTGCCACAGGCTCTTCCTGCTCCCTAACCCTGCTTCTGACACCTCCTCTTCCTCCCAGTCTGCTCCTTTTTCTCCCACTGACTACTCATCGCCGTCCCACCACCAATCCCCTGGCTCTGAGCCGCCTTCCCTTTGGGGTTCCCCAGCTGGTGCCTCCCACCACTGCTCTGCGTCCAGTCAGTCCATGACACTTGCTTCTTAAGTGGCAAGTGAATACAATAGCTTCAGCATTTTGAGGGGTTGTCCTCTCTCAGATGGGAAAACAAATGGATATTCAAATGGAGAGAGATGGAATGGAAGATGTAACTCAGAAGGCCTCAGTCCACTTCTAGCCTTTGTTGTCAAAGGTTGCTCAAATGGAGTTCTCTACAGTGACCTTCCTTGCCCTGTGGACCCCTTCACCAGACAACACTCTATTTTTTTGCAAAATCCACCTTTGCTTTTGTTTGAAGTGCAACAGCAGCAATCATTCAGTTTATAACTATGTTTGCTCATGTCTTGCCACTTTTGCATCTCCCTTCCCTACTGCCTCCCATTGCCTCTTCCCCCACCCCATGCTTAAAATGTAAATTGAAAGCTCCTTTGAGCAGGGACTTGTTGTTGGGGTTTTGTTTTTGTTTTGCTCATGGTACTCTGCAAAACCCAAAGGATGCACAACACTAATAATACGAAACAGCATACCAAATGAAACATTTTAAGTATTCAGTTTTTACTTGGATGTCCCACATTGCCCTCACCGAACTCTACCAAATTAGCAACAAAGAATTATGTTGGTGGGCACTGGTCAACCTTTGTTCCTGCTACAGTCTAGAAATAGAAATGTTCAGGGGAGGGGAGGATGAGTCAATGGATACTATGAGAAGCAAGTGATGTTATGAATCACTTTGAAAGCTGCTTTCTGATTTCACCTGCCAGCAGCAGCAAATTAACCCCACACCCACCCGGTCACTACCAGAAAATGTCAAAGTCGCTACAGAGCTTAGCTCTCCTGAAAACACTTCATTTGAAGGAATTAGTTGTGTGATTTCTCTCTTTCTAACAACTAATCATTCATTTTCACAAAACCACAGGGAGATCAAGCAAGGAGGCTCAGTGGTTTAGACCACAGTGCCACCCGCGTCCCCTACTAATGTGTATATAGCCACAGATTGGTCCAACATGGGAGATATGGGGGCCATTTTTGTCACATGGAAAGTAAACACAGGTCAAAATGGTAGATTGTTTTCTCTATTTCCTCATTTTAAATGCCACAAAATCAGTACAAAGTTGGGCCTGTGACAATGAAGGGATGGGAGTGACTTGTGAATATAAAGTACAGTACTTCTCTTATCTCAATACAGAACTGGGAAATGATAATCAGATTAAGACTTATCACACAGAAAATGCTTTAGGTTTTTTTTAGCGGGGGGGGGGGGGCATGCTGCTGCTTTGAGAATACAGAAGGGATTAGCTACTGCTTGCCAGTTCAGCCAATCAAACAGCAAGTGAGGTAGAAAACACAGCTGCTTCCTTCTCAAACATCTTCTGACACTGATTATCACTTTACTGGCCTGTTACAGATTTTATAGGATTTATGAAACAGTGCTGTGAAGAAAAAAAAACTACAACAGAATACATAGTGAAGTGTGTGTATATGTGGGGGCAGATTTGGGTCATAAAACCTACATATGCGTGAAAATAAATTCCTTGAATATCAGTTGAATTGGCATCCGTGAGATGAATTTAGGATCAGACTGTAAGATTGCTGTATGTGGGGGTTCATACACAGGGATTAAAACTCCAGCAATTTGAAATGGATGCCATTTTCTGTCTTCACTATCAAAGCACGCTGTGCCACAAGATGCAAAAATACATTTTGATTCTATTCAGAATCTGACTGCATTGGTTTCTTTTTAGCACCAAAGCACAATGGAAACTGTTAGCATATACAAGAAATGAGCAGTGCGGAGGGTGAAGCAATCAATGCGAATGATCAGTTTGTGACTAGGGTAGTACAAACCATGTTTGGGTAAGTAATCATTTCAAATTCTGAAAGGAAGACATAATAGCAGTATTAGATACAGACATATTTTTCCTTTATTTATTTAAAAATGCCAAGCCGCCACCCGTCTGAAGCAGGTAAGGGATATTGATTCACACTGAACAGATGCAGCAGTTATATCTGTAGGGAAAACATAGCTGTTGCTTGCAGTTTGGCACCACACTGTATAGTATTTGGGAAATTTCTCATTTCAAGCTAAAGGCTGGTTTAAATTGGACTGGGAGATGCACAGGCCCCTAATATATAGTATAGACAAGAACAGGTTTTTGCAAACCAAAAGGCCCCAAGGGCCTCTCTATCCACCAAGCCACACCCCTAATGGGCCTTGCTCTGGGCCTTCAAGTGCTCTTGCCTGGCCAGAATGTGTTCTTCAACTATTATAATGCCTCTTTGCTGACTTGGATGGAGAAGGAAAAGAGATGTAGACATGGCAGGGCAGGAACATAGCCCTCCCTACAAAGGTAAGAGTCACATCCACCCCAACCATCACAGGCACACAGCCCCCAGAAGGTGGTTCATGAGGGAATGAGGCATTTTGGCTGAGAATGTTCCAAGCTCACCCATGTTCAAGAGGGTCATAAATGAACTCGGCCCACACTCCTCCTCTGGGATTTCCAGTGGCAACGCAGAAGCGTCTCCTCTCAGTTCTTTTAAGTAAGCTATATTTTCAGAGGTATTAGTTATGAAAACCTACAGCTGGATGTCACATATTATTTACTTAGTATAGGGGTGGGGAACTTTTTTCCTTCACATCCAACTTTCAGGGAGGTGCATGTTGGTGGTGGGCAGAGCGAGCCAGAGGCCAAATTGGGTGGAACAGTATATGTGATTTTTATCCTTGTATGATAGATTGCATTCCAGCCAGTACCACATACTAGTGTGTGTCGTGTGTCATGGCACCCTGGGGTGTCTTCAATGATGGTTGGGGTGCTGCAGACAACACTGGCCTCTTTCCCTCTTTCCTTCCCTCTGATGCCCTCTCGCGTCTCTGCCTCTCAAAGGCTTGCACAGATCTTTGTTGCAACAGCCCTGGCTACAAGTACCCCAGGCGAATGGTCCCTCTGGGGCTGGCCAGGGGTGCTTCCCAGGCCCCTGTGGGGTAGTGTGAGGAGGCAACTCTCTTTGGGGTGGGGGGCAGCTCAGAGACCAGGGGCGACAGCAGCAGCTGCCCAGAGGACTAATAATAATAATAATAATAATAATAATAATTTATTATTTATACCCCGCCCATCTGGCTGAGTTTCCCCAGCCACTCTGGGCGGCTCCCAATCAGTGTTAAAATCAGTACAGCGTTACATATTAAAAACTTCCCTCTCCTAAGGAGAGGGAAGAGGAGAGGAGACTGAGGAAACACTCCTCAAGGGAGGGTGCTCAAAAAGGGGTGAAGGGCTGCCGGCTCTGCAGGTAAGGGGTGACGTAACTGGGCTCCTGAGCCCCACAGGGGTGCCGCAGAAAGAACGCAGTTGGTCAAGGGAGCCATGGACCGCAAAAGGCTAAAAACCTCTGCAATATACCATTGTCAAAACTGCTTCTGTCCCTTTTCAACAATTTGGTTCAGAGGCTATGTTTCAGCCTGCCATGCGGTTATTACTGCCTGTGGGGATATGGGAAAGATCTGTCATTTCGCAGACTATTTTAGGCAACTCACCTTTACGTTGATGTAATTTTTGTCTTTCTATTTAAAGCTACCTTTGTGAAAATCATTCCCTACATATTCTCCACCCAACCCCTCTAGTTGGCTTAAAATAAATGACTGTTTTCTATTTCCTTCCTAGATCTGTGAACATCTGAAACTTTGCCTGGAACTTTCTTTATTGAAAATTCTATTCTAAAATAAGATCTATCTTTGACAAGGGTAGTCAAATGCTGGGACCAAAAATCTCAGTGTCTTAAAACAGAAGCATCTGAAACATTTCCCCTGCTTTATAGATTAACTTGCATTTGCCTTAATTATTGACTGTTCCACTCATAATTTCCACCTTTGCTTTCTGCTATCCTAAGTCTTATTTATTTAACATGTCTCTTCTGTGTGCTCCTAGGAGCTCCATTCTCACTTCCTACAGATTCACTTTACTCTTGTGTATACTGTGCAGTTCTCTAAATACACTCAAACATCACAACTTAATTCTACAGCCGAAGAAGAACTAGGAATTGTGCACAGACTACAATTCTAGTTTCAGTTTTTATTCACTGAAACTAAGAACATTCTTAACAGGGGTGATCCTACCATCAGGCAGCGTGATGTCTCTGGTGATGGGTGCTGTGGAGTAGTGTAGTGAGGTGTCAGGAGGCAGAAATGTGTGTGCACATGCCTAGTAGCCTGATGCCCTCAAGAGGATGCTGGCGCATCACCATGTCAAGATAAGCCTGAGCTGCCAGTCTGATCAGCTTCTGTATGTCAAATGAATGGGACGTGATCTTGTCCTTTGCCTCAGGCAGCAAAATGTCTTGGGCGGTTTTGGTTCTGAAACAAAGCACAGGGCAGTCCATCCAAATCCCCACCTCATTTCTCCTAATAGGTTGAAATTCCGTACTCTGGATTGAATTCAACTCCGGGTTGAATTCCGTACTCTGGAGGAAAAGGATGTTGGCAATGACCTTTGCAGGATCTTTAGCTCTGACTGTAGTTCATTTCCAGGCAGAATGATAGATGAGTTTAAGAAATTGTGAGTGGCAGAACACAAGATTGTAGCCATAGTGGACTGAGGTTTGAAAAGAGCTCTATTAGCCAGGGGCTCTTTCTCTTTTAAGTCATTTCAGCACTAGATTTGCCTCTGGCTTTCCAGTTTAGCAGTTAGAGGAGTAGTAAGCACACCACTTTTATATGTTGGTTGAATAGGACTCTTGACATTTTCCCTTAAGGCACTGCTTCTGTTACAGGACTATCAACTTTTCTTCAAGTTCAAACTGCAACATTTCGTGAGTCACTCATAAAATTCAGTGGGCTGTATCAAATGGTAGTTCATACTCAGAGCAGACCCACTGAAATTCATGGACATAACAAATTTAGGTCTATTAATTTCAGTGGGTTTACTCTGAGTAGATCTTAGTTGGATACAACCCAAACCGTCCTCCAACTAGGAGTGCTTAGCTATTATTTGTAGTTAAGCTCAAAAAGAGATGAGATTCATACTTCCCCATGCAATGCCCCAACTTTTCAGGTAACTTTATTTCATTATTTCCTTACACTTCTACACTGTTTAACACCAGCACCAAAGTGTTATTGGAAGCCTACATAAACATGCTCACCCAGAAATGCTCAGTGGGAAGGCTAATTTCCCCATCTCTCCTTACAGTAAGGCTACGCACCACAACCTGCATGGTCTGTCATGTGCAAGCAGGGTATTGGATCAGGAGTGGAACTCACTCAAGTTATTCTGATTGCCTGAAAAGCACTTTAAGACTTGGATACTTCAGAATAACTGCTCATTTAATAAATAAACTATAGGTGAAACCAATGGTTATCAAGCAGATCCATCAGTCCTAATGTCAACATATTGTGGCTTCTCCATTATGTTGAATTAAATTCATCCTGCACTGATTACAAAAATGATATCTCTGAAGCTTCATTTAAAATGAGCTCAACAAGGCTCATTAGCTTGTTGGAGTATGTTTACTCAATTTTATTTTTAATGAAACAACAGTCTTGTCTGAAATGAATCCTTTGCATCACAGGAAATGTGCTATAAAACACAAGCCACTTCCACATCTGTTCTCACTCATCATTTAACATACTGGAGTGTCTCATACTCGGCATCCTTTTATCAGGTGTTCACCACTTTTGAACTAAGCTGAAGAAATGTACTTCTGAAAAATAAATAAGAGATGGTGATAGAGGGTGAAAGAGAAAAAATAAAAAGCAGTAGGAAACAGTGGTGTAGCATGGGTTGTCAGCACCCGGGGCAAGGCAAGTAATTTGCGCCCCCTAACCCGTGGATTTGCGCCCCCTAACCCGTGGATTTGCGCCCCCTAACCCTAACCCCCAGATGTTGCGCCCGGTGCGGCCGGCCCCCCCTGCACCCCCCACGCTACGCCACTGGTAGGAAAAGAGGCAAGCCGCTTGACTGTAGAAGAAAACCTCAAAGCAGTTAACAAAAAAATAAAATGATAAAAATTATCACTAAAAAAATAATAATTACAGCCATAATTTAAAACATAAAAAAGTTAAAACCACAATAGAATAGACTAAAACAGAAAAATTGCAGCTGTTGAACAAAGGACTATGATTAAGACTGCAATAACACTGGAATAAATAAGATGTTGAAAGCAGGAAGAAGAAAAAGAATTACTGAACCTGTAATCCAGCCAGCGGGAGGTCACCCAAATTATATAATTGGATATTTGATTGTTATTTTATTTGGTATTATGCTTCGATATGCATATAATGAGGTCTGTTCTGGATTTTTTTGTAATTGAAAACTAATAAAAATTATTGGGCGGGGGGAGGAGAATAGACTAAAACAGATTCATAATGTAGCTGCCAGGGTGCCAAAAACACTCTCCTAATGTTACTCTCTGGACTTGGTCCAGAAGGTATGACTGCAGCCACTTCCCATTCCCCAGAACTGGTCCAGGAGGCACTGGCGGAGGAAGAGGAGTGCGGGGGGAGCGCACTGCCCCTGGCAGCGCGATCCCAGTAGGGTGACATTGCAGCTGCCCCTGCAGCCCGCGCTGGGCACCACACCCCTGCAGGCAGCGTGCCCCGCCCCCAGGACACGCACCAGCCCCGCCCCGCCAGCTCTCCGTCCCCCCAATGCCAGAACATGAAGCTCCGCCTTTGCCAGGAAAATACTATGGTTGATGGTATTAAAAGCTGATGTAAATATACAATAATAATACATGTATCTGTGTAAGTTAGCCTGTAGGGATACATGGATGTGTGTGTGCATGTGCGCATCCCGCCCCCTACAAAGACACAACATAATGTTATGTGAGAGTCCTCAGTTTAGATACTAACACCTGCCATTTCTACCATTCTTAAGTCTTTTCATTTAATTCAAAAACACGTTTCTGGCTCTGACACTTTGGCAGCCACTTCAAAAACAGGAGCCAAATATTTGATATAACGAAGCCTGCTCATATTTACTCGTGATTATACAGCCTAGATCGAAAGCTCACAGGGTCTAGATTACATTATTCATCAGTTTTAAGTCCTGTGACACCTGACCTTTTCTCAAACACTACAAAACGCATGCAGAGCCTGAAGGTCAAAAGACAAGTGCCAAGCTTCACAGTGGAGAACCCAGATGTAGAAAAGGAAAGGGTGGGGCGAGAAGTATAATGGAAAATGGAGACCAAAGCCAGTGGCCAGGTGACCTGAACAGCCAGGCATTTTATTTTGACACCACTTTTCCCATGGATGCAGCACTCACTCCTGTTAATTTTGGCCTATGACCCTATCTTCATTTTAGCCAAGTGGAGCTTGTAGTTCAAGAGAGAAGCAAGCCAGCTGGGACAAGGTGGAAAGAGCTTATGCTCTCACCTGTACCTTTAGGTCTTCTTTCCAATCTCATGTGTTTTTCTAAATTTACCATCTGTTTTCAGTACCAGAGTTCAACTTTAGAACATATGAAGTTAGAATATTAATACTGCAACCACTGTATTGCTTTCAGTGCCTGCTAAAAACTTTTCTGTTTAGGCAAGTCTACTCACGATATACAATTTTACTTTTAAGATTGTTCTTTTTATTGGTATTTTCTCATGAATATTTTGTATTATTTCCCGTAAACTGTTCAGTGCTTTGTTTTCAAATTAAGTGATATATAAATCTTGTTAAATAAAATATATTAAAGTGCTTCTCAGCAGGCGTGAAGTGTGCTGCCCTCACTTCTGAGTAATTCCTGCGAGACTTGAACCCCAACTTCTTTCTCTAGAAAATTAACAGTAGCTCAAAGCAAGGAATGTGCCAGAGGTAGCAACATGGTGGATCTGAAACTGGACACATCCATGGCCTCATTTGGATGCTACACTAAACTATGTTTTAGCATTATGTGTACAAGCCCTGGTGTTTTCAGCTCCCTCAGTATAACTAACTCCCTCCATCCAGCACTGGTTCCCTGTAAGACAGACGAAAAGCAGCTTTCCTTCTTCCACTGTTCTGGATAAGCTACCCTTCCTAGCTTTTCATGTACCCAGGTTCTTCGTAGCTCTCACACAGCTGTGCTGAGGAACATCTGCCTGTATCACCTGCCCCTCCCCTCAAGCCTCCTGCCTTTGTGTGGTGAGTTGGGCACACAAACATGGAGCCTTTTAGTCTCATTATAAAATGCATTTGAAATGCATATTTAAGTCTCATTAAAGTATGCATTTCTAAATGTGTTTTATCCTAAAATGCTCATCTTGAGCTACATTGATACATGGTCATTTTGTGATTAGACGTGAACTTTCATACAGATTTTTTTTCACCATTACAGATTAATCTGGAAATGGGCTGGAGTGCACTTATGAATGAACATAAACAACAGTGACATGGGGTAGAAATGAGACTAATATGTCCACTTTCTGGTAAGTGTGGTGTACGTGGGGAAAACCCTGCAGCACTATCTAAAATTACTACACAGACCTATCAACTGGCAACCAACACTGTGTCCTCAGAGGTGGGTGCTGAGCTGTGCTGAAGGCTGAAAAGACAATGTCTTGGGGCAGAAGAGCTCTTTAAAGCGTCCCACTCAGCATCCTCTCCTAACTCAACAAGTTGGGCTTGCTCCTGCTCCTCGGGGATGTGCACAAAAGCACCATCCTATCTACCATAAAACTTGGGGCAGAGCAGGGGTTGGCAATGTTTTTTGAGGCCGGTCCGGTCCACTCCCCAGCAGATCTCTTGGTGGGCTGGAGCATGCGCGCCCATGCGTGTGCTCAAGCTATTTCTGGTACCCTTCCAGGGTGGAAGAGCGCCCGTGCGCATGCGCACATGCTGTTTCTGGCGCTCTTCCAACCCAGAAGTCGGTCCCTGCGGCAAGAAAAAAATGGCGCCGGGGGGGAGCATGGAATCCCCACGCCAATCCATGGAACAGTCATGGGCTGGTTCAAGGAAGCTCATGGGCTGGAACCGGCCCATGGGCCTTAGGCTGCCGACCTCTGGGGTAGAGGGAAGCGATGCCACAGACTTCTTAACTAGGATTTGTTGAAAGAAGCATGCTTCAAATGGTGGTTTATGAAGTTGGCTTGTTTTCCAAAGCCATAGCTAAGATTAACGTGGTTAAGATGAAGGGTTGAGAGACAATGATAACCTCTGGCTCATTGAAAATGGAAATGAAAGCTGCTGCTTCTTATGACCACCTGGGAGTGGGGTTAAAGGTGATGACACACGAGCCTGAAGCTCATTCATGTCAGACTGAATTATAAATGAGAGTTATGTCCAAACTGAACCTATAAGTCATCCCATAAAGGAATTCCTAGTTAGAAAGAGGAGGAGCAGACCTGTCCCAAGAATAGGAAGGCAAAGGTTAAAGCTACAAGAGATGTACCATGAGAAGCATTAAGCAAGATAGTAATGTGTCATGTAACACAGCAGGAGAAGGAACTTCTAAACCGTCCTGTCATTGATAAATTATAAGTAGCACTTGGCTGTCCCCCCTGCCATGTTTTTTTTCCAAATATGTTTTGTGGGACATTTTATTCTATTTTTCTAATAAAACAGAATTGCAGCTTAAGTCAGGACAGTGTAGGAAAAAAAACTATTAAGACTTTCCAGGAACCCCATGCTTTAAAATTAAATACTTTCCCTTTCCAGATTCTGTCAGTTTTCTTGCCTCCTGTTATCGCAGCTAGGGGATTAGTGAGTAATTGCCTCCATGAGTTGTTTGTTCAGGGATGGGAGGGTGGGTGGTGGGGTAGGAAGGCTTCAATTGCTGATTTCCAATTTCTTTATTTAAAAAAACAAAGATGCAAGAAGCCCAGTATAATTTGGTTAATTATTGGATTCATTAGTCACCCTTTGTCAGTAATGATTCCAGAGCAGCAATTAAACAGAAAATCCCCAGCCAATAAATTCATAACAGATCAGTCTCAATCTCCTGTTAGGGAACTACTGGGCCCCACTGCTTCAGACATGAGAACCAGAGGGAAAATGGAAATCAAGGAAGAACACTACCTTGAGAACATAAAACCAGGATCAGATTATAAACTTAATCCCAGGAACATAAGCCTTCAGAAAAAAATTCCTGGATTGAAGTTGCTTCAGTTTTGGAGATCCGAATCTGACCCTCCATTTCCACCCTGCAAACAATATCTTAAGGAAGCGAGTGTGACAGAAAAATCTTGCATCATTAAAAGTAATGCCTCTTCATAAAAATAGTCATACATATTGCCCGTTGTTTCTGAACATGAATTCAATCATCTTTTGAAATAGGTATGCCTGAGCAAACTTCCCAGATTTTAATTTCAAAGGCAATATTACATGCTGTTTTCCACAAGTAATATAAGATATTTTCCCCAAATAATGTTCATGCACATTCCCTTTCGTGACTTCTATTAAAAATCCATTAGTCACCCACACACAAGTGAATAAAAATCCTACAGGCATCCTTAGTCTCAAGTTCATAAAGTGGGTAGGGGGAACCCTCTGAAGATACTTATAAAAGGAGACTTAAAAATCATTCTGCATTGTTAACTACCATGACAACATAAAATGAATTATCATTCATTTACAGAACCATTTCCAATACATTCTTATTGGATTTGAAGGCACATTCAAAATATGATCTGAAGTCTTGAAATAACAACCCAACCTGGTAAATTAAGATGAATGTGCTTTTATTTTTATTTTTTTTATAATGATTTTTATTGATTTTCCAAACACAAAATAAACACAAACAATATACAATACATAAACAAACAAACATTTAACATGTATAATTTCATAACCCTCTTTTCCTAAACCTTACTTCCCGGACTTCCCCATGCCTCCCCTTTTCTGCATCCTTGTTTTTACATTTCTTCAGCAACTCCCCCCATTAACTAATTATTCAATTCATTTTCTTTTTTGATTCTTCTCTAACTTATCAATTACAGCTGCAATTCTCTATTTCCCAATCCCTTGACATTTTAGCACTCATCAATTTTACAACAGTTTTTAAGGTATATTTTAAATTTCTTCCAGTCTTCTTCCACAATCTCTTTCCCTTGGTCACGGATTCTGTGCTGAATGTGCTTTTAAAACAGTTGGGACTACTCTGCTCATTCATTTATTTATTTTAAAAAAGCAGAAATGCAGCTCCATCAGCAGTAGTAGCATAAGTGCTGTGTATTTCTGACCCCCTCGGATACAGTAATGAGCTCCCCCCCCCATTGCTGCATGGCACCCCAATTTTTGAGAGGTGTGAGATTCTAGGGGTTCCAGGCGCTTGCCCAGGGTTCGTATTTCCTTTGGAGACTGTGGTGTCTTTATGGTCTATGGCTCATTTACACACACATATATATATACAACCTAAGCCTGTGAGGGAAGGACTGGCAGCATTAATACTCCAAGAAGGTCTTACTTCCCCCAGAGCCACAGCCTTGGATTTGGACAGAAATCAATCCTCCCTCCCCCTCTCCCTGGATATGCCAGGTCTGCATCCTCTCTACCTCAGGCTCCATTCTCCCCTTGGTGGTCTAAGAAAAGTTGACATGAATCTCCCTATGACTCTTCTTTGCTTACTATGAAAAGATACTCCCATAACTGTATCACAGATGCACATTTCATTTTCTAGCTATGAGTCACTGTCAGCTAGAGGTTGTGCAAGTGATAAGAAATTAGCATAGCTGAAAAACTGAGACATGGACAAAGGGTAGGTATAAGAGCTTCTGGTTCCAGAAGGGAGAAAAAGTGTTTGACAAGTGCAGCCCCAGGGATTTTCAGTAGTGACTGCAGTTCATTTGGAAGTGCAAACAACATGGTGTTTGACAGGAAAATCTGGCATAAGGAACAGTGCATTTCAAAGCCTGCTCTACTTCTGATCCATAAAACTCCTTCTACAGTAGGTCCAAATTCACAAGATTTGCACAAGAGCAATGCTTGTAGGAGGCTCCTTTTAGATACCCCATGGTGAAGTGATGGTAAGTTTGCCTACTGATTCGTAGGGCTTGTTCGGGTGACTGTTTACTATAGCATGACAGCATGATGGTGTATTATGAAGGATGCAGAGAGTGAACCACTCTTCTTGCACATAATGATAAAAGGAGTTGGGTCAAATATGCATTCCCTGCTGTCGTCTGGGCAACCCAGGACCTCCATACACACTGCCCAAGCTTGCACCCCAGAGAGATCAGTTCAGTGCTGCTAACACAGGAGGAAGCAGTTATGACTTACTGGTCTCTGCAGTCACAGCAGACGCTGTGGTTCTCCAGCGGTCTGACTTCACCCCCAGAGGTGCACTCCATTGTCTCTCGAGACAGACAGGTGCCAACAACATTCTGACCTTGACAAAGTTGCCACAGTAGACCATCAAATGTTGAAGGTGAGTGCCATTGTTTTGTTTCCAATCATGGCAGCGCTCTTCCCTGTTTCCAAGCATGGTCTAAAAGATACCTAATAGCAACATATCAGCAAATGTTTGCAGCAAACAGAACCTTTGGGAGCAAACAGCTATATGAGGAGCCAATTTTCAGCAGGAAACAGGGCAGGGAGGAAAGAGACCACTCTCTGTGCCATGTAATTCCAATCCAGAGTAGAGACCCACCGCCGCCGCAACTGCTTTTTATGAAAGTGCTTTAAAGTACAGTGGTACCTCGGGTTACATACGCTTCAGGTTACAGACTCCGCTAACCCAGAAATAGTACCTCGGGTTAAGAACTTTGCTTCAGGATAAGAACAGAAATCAAGCAGCGGCGGTGCAAGGCCCCATTAGCTAAAGTGGTGCTTCAGGTTAAGAAGGGACCTCCAGAACGAATTAAGTACGTAACCAGAGGTACCACTGTATGTGCTTAGTTTGATCCGACTGATAGACCTGGCATGGTTCAGACATTACTCATGAGGTGTTTATTTATTTGGTATGAGACATGTAATATGCAGTTTGGACATAACTCTCATTTATAGTTCAGTCACAGGGTTGTGATGTATTAAACAAGGAGGGAAACGCCACCTTGAGCCTCCATCTATTGGAATAAAGATCAGCATCAGGGAAAAGGGAGGCAGCATCAATATGGGGGGCAGGGAGAAGTTGAGAGTGAAGATCTGCATCTGGAGGGAGGGAGGGAGGGAGGGAACACTGGTAAAGCAGCAGCTTTGGCTTCTTCTCGCCCTCTGGCTTCATGAAAAGGAGGCGTTATGCTTGCACAGTAGCCCCTCGCCCAGGCAAAAAGGAGGCAGAAACTGAAACCAACCCAGAAGCCAAGGCCAGAGAAGGAAGAGAAGCAGGCAGCAGCTGGAGAAGAAGCATTACATGGCAGCCACACCTATGTATTGGGGGTCAGATCTATGTAGATTGTGCAGATCCTGCTGCCTGAGGCGGTCACCTAACACAGCTTCATGGGAGGGCTGGCCCTGGTCAGTACTGCGAAGATCAGTGTGTTTCTGGTTCACCTATTAATGTCGCTTGCTCAAGAGGATCACTACAATGAGTCAATAAATGATGTGAAAGCAATGTCCTAATAGGATCATATTCTGGTAACTAAGCACAATTACAATAATAATAACAACTACATGATGATAGTGATGTTGATTATACTCCGCCCATCTGGCTAAGTTTCCCCAGCCACTCTGGGTGGCTTCCAGCAGATTATAACAACATAATAAAATGTCAAACGTTAAAAACTTCCCGATACAGCGTTGCCTTCAGATGTCTTCTAAAAATGGTGTAGTTCTTTATTGCCTTGACATCTGATGGGAGAGGTACAAAAAGATCACTGGGAATCTGAGCTCCCGTAAACCTGATCTTCCCCTAAATCTTCTCTCCAGTTTCAATGTATTAAAAACCTGGATCATCTTACATTCTTAGCTCATCTTGCATATTGATTTTATAACTATATAACCTCCTTAGTTCCTCTTGTTTCAGTTGTATGTACATTCTATCATCTATGTACAGTATTACTCATTTTTCATACATCCAGCTTAGCAGCTGTGCGTCTCTTTTAGAGATGAATTGGTGCAACAGCAATTCTAGAGTAGTTCATGATGAATACTTCACAGCTGCAATAGAAATGGGAAACTCTCGAGTTTGAGAACAGATGATACATAATTATTTATTTTTGAATAAAAAATATATATTTCTAACCTTGCAGTATAAAATTAGGCACACTTGATTACAGAACCACAGCTACAGAATTTCTGTTTCATTCAGACAAAAATAGATTTTCATCATTGCATCACTTTACATGCTTCGCACCAATTGTTGTACGTGCATGAAAAAAAAGTGTTAACATATTTTACATGTAGGCAGCTGCATCCAAATTGATTTTGGCAAAAGAAAGGAAAAAGAAACAGTCATCCAGCGTAATTTGTGGTTGTCAAGTTTCAATTTGCTTTAATTATCTCTACAAAAATAGGATGATGTTAGATATTTCTGGTAGCAGCTGTGCATGATTGCTGTGGAACTGTATCTCTCTACCATTCATGAAAATTATTAATATTGCCCATAAATCTAGTTAACTGAATATTTTTAATAGATATGACACAAGGCAGATTTCATTCCCTCAAATGTGGATATATACCATATTTTTCAGTGTATAAGACTAGGTTTTCCCCCTAAAAAATGTCAATAAATAGGGGGCATCTTATACACGGATACATCTCCCCTCCCCATTTTCTTAAATCTGAGTCCCCCAAAATAGGGGGCATTTTATACGTGGGGGCGTCTTATACATAGAAAAATACTGTATTTTTCTTCCATGAGATTAAAATTTGATGTTGACTTTACTGCTGATTTAAAAAAAAACTCATGGAATGGCCTTTTTCAAACTATAGTTTATAAAACCATGGCTTAGTGCAATGTGTGAACCAAATCCAGCAGCTTATCTATGATTTATTACCTATGGTTAAATATAGCTCATTAACCAGGGTTTGTAGTTGGCTTACAAACCTTAGCTAACATTAACCATAGCTTAGCATTATGTGAGAACCCAACCTCTTCTTTAACTATAGCAAAGGAGCTGTCACCACCCAGAAGCTACAGAGGCATAAACAAAGAGATGCAAGTCATTCTGAAGGTCCTTTTTAGCTATTCTGTGACACAATAAACCAAAGTCTAAGTGATTGTCTGCCAGACACCATATTTTACAGTTATGTGCAAACCAGGCTGTTAAGAAATACAGCCCTGGATCCAACTGAGGATATGTTCAGCTTCCAGGGCAGGTAGAAAAGCAATAACTTTCAGTATTAGTGGTTAGAAAAGTGATAACTTTCAGTATTAATGGTTTGTTAGGGAAGTGGAGGAAACAAAATTCATCACAGCTCCCCTTCTCAAGCTTACATGCCAAGTTAAAATGGGCCTCATTCTGGTATGGTGAAAAAATATGTGTTTGTTTAAAGCATTTATATGCCACTCAATAACCATGTTCTTTGAGCACCTTAAAAACAGAGAAAGCATCGAAATACCTATGTAATCACTAAGTATTACAACAACAAGAGCAAATTCCAGCATAAACACTCATTTATATTCCACCTTTCCTCTAAAAAAGTTGGGGTAATGTACATGGTCCCCCCCTCCCAATTTTATCCTCACAACAACCCTGTGAGGTTGGCAAGGCCAAGAGATGTGAGTTGGTAATAACTCTGAGATTATGAAAAGCTGAAGTTTTCATATGATCTACCCTTAGTTATTTAATAGCAGCATTCCTGTAACCAAATAAATATATAGGACCCAGTTTTGCTTTTCAGTGCAAAGTAGGCAACATTGTCCTTTTTCTCACTTAAAGTCCACTTCTATTCATCCGCTCTGGCTCCCTACTGGTCTTTTCAATACACTTTTCTCTGGCTGCTAGGCAACCTAAGTGTACAGTAATGCTGTTGCCATCTGCTATGGACTGTGCTAACTTAACTCTTCGATTTGATTTTTTTTAAAAAAATAAAAAATGGGGAAACACTGCTATCCAAGCTTTCCTTTCTGATCAGTAATTAATATCTCCAGCAGTTCAGAACTGAGTATCAGAAGGCTTTTAGCCAGGAGACAAAGGGAGATTATAATTTAGCTCTTAAACACATAAGGCTGCAATCCTAAACACATTTATCTGGGAGTAAGCCCTAATGAATGCAGTGGAACTTGTTTCCAAGTACAGTGGTACCTCGGTTTTCAGACGTCTCCGTTGCCAAACATTTTGGTTTTTGAACCCCGAAAACCCGAAAGTAATTGTTTCCATTTTCCAACGCGCCTCGGAAATTGAACGGCTTCCGTTGTATTCTTCTCATTTTTTTCAATTAATATTGCAGACTGCCCATTGCGCCTTGGTTGTCAAGCGTTTCAGAAGTCAAACGGTCTTCCAGAACGGATTACGTTTGACAACTGAGGTACCACTGTAAATATGCACAGAACTGCTCAGCATGCCCAAACCCATAGGACTGCTTAGGCCAGGAATAGGGAACTTGTGGTCCTACAGATGTTGCCACACTACACCTCCCATCATCCCTGACCATTGGCCAAGCTAGCTGGAGCTGATGGGAGCTGCAGTCCTAAACACCTGGAGGGCAGCCAGTTCCTCAACCCTGACTTGGGCTCATGCAAAAGGGCTTGTTTCATCTTTGTACAGCTGGCCCCCATATCAAAACACAGATTAATTCTGAAAATCCACCTAGTATGTTGTTTAAATAATTTTTACACCAAAGGCACGGGTCACAAGAAAACAACAACTGCAGATAATAAGATATAGAATATAGGACAACAACAAAACTTCAAACCCCTCTCCATTTCAAGGTTTTCCATGTGTTGCGGGGGTCCTGCTGTTTGAGGGGGGTGCCTAACAGTGTTCTACTGGGTTCAGTGGAGCTTGCTCTTAGTTAAGAGCTTGCAATCTTATATACTAGGTATGGGGAACCTGTGGCCCTCCAGAGGTTGCTGGACTACAACTCCCATCATCCCTGAGCACTGGTCATGCTGGCTGGGGCTGATGTGAGGTGTGGTCCAGCAATATCTAGAGGGACACAGGTTCCCTGTCCCTGCTAAAGCACACTTATTTAGGATGAAGCTCCCATTTATTTCTGACTACACAGTACAAAAGATTGTGCTGCGTAGTCTCTTGGGCTCATCAAACTAGTTTCACAGTTCTTTGGATCTTAGCTGTTGTTGTGAAGCTTTATTATTCACACATTTAAAAATGCAAGTGTCACAAACAATTATACTGCACAAAAGAACTTGCAAGAACCATGTGTTTTAAAAAACCCCCACTAACACAAGGAAATAATATCACCCAGATAAAAAGACTAAACTATTCCAATTTCGGAAATGTTTATTCAGTTCCTTGAACCAAATCACCTTCACAAATCAAGATATCTTAAGAGTACTAAATGTAAAAACACATTCTTTATTATATATCTTGTTTATGCCTTTGAGGTGGAACAGGCTATTTTTACACAGCACAACCACAATAGCTTTCAACAAAAGTGAGACTTTCAAAGCGGCTCCATTAATCTTTTTCTTTCCTTTTGTAATTCCTCCCTCATCCACAGCCTAAGAGGAAAAGTCACACTTATATACAAAACCCAGATCTTTTAACCAAGTAGAACAATGAGGGGGATAAGAAACAAAACAAAAGCTTGAGGCCTCATGCTCTTTTAACTACCTTAGAAAAAAACACAAAAAACTCCATCACAAATAGATTCTAAATATTCAGATTATCAAAGGTTTGGGTGGGAGGAATGAAATGATGCGTCCATTGGGATTACACGCTGCAGTCTGGTAACCAAGAGATTCAGTTACAGATGTCAAAATGATTAGGATTCCACAGCACATACTACATGTACCATCAGGTGTGAACATCTTTGTTTAGGGTAAAGACATCTTCCTGCACAGCTTCGCATTAATGCCCCCTGACGTGTCCAGAATCAGAAAAACATCAAACACCTGTAAGGTTATGCTGTTGTGAACAGCTTGCAGGGGGGAGCTGTGAAAGGGGGGATAGTTTCACTGTACTTAAAGACAGTAATGTGAACACAGCCCAAAGTTTGGTTGTGTCAATGATAGTACAGGGAGTATGGACAAAGGGAGAAGTATAGCCTGTCGAGGAGGTTGGTGTGTGTAACTCTGAGGTGAAGATTTGCTTGGTGATAAGTGGCGGTACAAGGGAAAAAATAGGTATGATTCCACCATTCTGCCCCCACCAGTTAGCATGAATGTTGCTCAGAGAGAAAGAGAGAGAGAGAATGCAGGAAGATATGGGCTGCCATTTTATTAAATACAATACAGAAAAAAACAGAGGAAAGTGATTTCTATAGACTCTTCCTCCTCCCCACTGTGGGAACAGAAACTGATATGGAATAGTTCATGGAAGTGATTTAAGGAGCAGCTGAGAGGCTCTTCTGCCAACCAGGACCAACAAGAAATAATAAAATGGAAGTAATTAAAGTAACTAAATTTGCAAATAATAAGTGTTTAAAGCAGGAATGGCTAACTTGTGGCTCTCCAGATGTTGCTGGACTACAATTCCCATCACCCACCAATGGTCAAGCTGGCTGGGACTAAGGGAGTCCAACAACATGTGGAGGCCCATAGGTTAGCTAACCCTAGTTGAAAGGAACAGGAACCCTACAAGCCTCTTCACACTAGACAGGCTAATGTTGCAGCTTCATTTGACTGCAAGAAAACAGTCTCAAGCTCAAGCCAGAAAACACAGGAGAACAACACAGAAAGCACTATAATGATAACACCACCATCTAAATGCTCTGTAAAAAGTGAGTGAGCAAAGCATGGCTGTTCCAGAGAAAAAAAGTGTGAAGGCATCCTGAAAGAAGGATCACTTGAATCTGATTTCATACACAAGAAGACACACTGTAACAGCTGTCCCAAATGATCTCAGTAACCCATAAAGAGCAATGATAATAGTTTCAGATCCAGATTCTGGGTTGGATCCAGCCTACTTTACTCATGGGTTGCTTCCACTAGGGGTAGGCAAGGAGATGGTTTTTATTCCTCCTTGTGCCCCCAACAGCTGTTTCAGAGGGTTGGAACACTTTACAGAATAGTATGTCAGGTGTTATTGGGTGAGGGGACTTTAGAGGAAAGGGGAATCAGCAAAAATCACCCTCATCCCTCCAGCAGAAGGCTTCCCCTGGATCTCAGTTCCTACCACAAATGGAAGAAGCCCTTCCATTAGAAGAAGGGACAGAAGGTAAACAAATAATTAATACATCTTCTGCTTAAATAAAATGCAAGCAAAAGGCCTGTGTAGTACAAATATACCATAACCACAATTTGATCCACTTTCCATTACATTAGTGCATAAGGTTAATGATTCCAGAATAAATGATACTCACCCAAATCTGCAGTTTTACCCTCTTGTCATTCCTGTAAACAGTCTTCACTTTGAAGTCGATCCCCACAGTACTGACAAAGGCTGGTGTGAAAGTGTCATCAGCATATCTAAAGAGGAAGGAAGTCTTGCCAACGCTGCTGTTGCCAATGATCAGGAGTTTGAACATATAATCAAAGTTCTGGTCGGAAGCATCCTTGTGTCCATATCTGGCATCTGTTACGGAAGCCATCTAAGGAAAGAGTAGCACATTTGTCTCTGTGATTTAATTTATTCAGGAACAGAATATGCACTATGCAATCCCTTCTCACATGCCCTCATCTCCAGGTGACCAAGAGTATCAAAGCTGATAGCAGTGATTGTATAATGTGGAACTCATGGCTTCATTCCAGGAGCAATACATACACGGATCTATCAAGAGTAAGCAATTGCCTTTTCATACTTGCAGGACCTGATTCAGAAGCGGATCTGCACATAACACCTGCTTCCATAATCATAACATAGTGAGGGATGCATGTGGTTTTATTTCTGTTTAGATTTATAAAGAAAATACATGTGTGGATAATTCTATAGACTACTCAATGAGTACTGTATTTGATAACAGGTGTTGACAGTGCCCTGATCAAGATAAACTGAGAATAGCTTAGAAACACAGCTTATGAATAACTCTGCCATATTCACCCTATCCCTAGGATTGATTATGAACAGATAGCACATTTTAAAGATGATTAATCCTGCCTACATTACATGCTGATATGAACTGAACAGACCAAGTTTCATTATTAGAATTCAGTGTCGCTGGCTAACATTTCACATCCTACTTTGTGCCAAGGCTAAATGGAGCCACCTGGCTCCCAGATTGTATTAATTATTGCATTGTTTACTGAACAGCAGCTAAAGTGATAGATTCCTGCTCCCATGTTTATCCGAGTGCATCAAAACGTCACAGGTGACACTCTTATAAGAAGAGGTATTCTGTCATTTTCTCATTCAGGTACCACATGGATATTATATTTTGAAATTTCCCCAGGATAATAAGTCAATTCTTCTCACTAATAAAAAGAAAAGATTCCAAATAAGATTGTCATTGTGGAGATACTATGTACAATAAAACTGACTTATAGAAGACTATTAGGAGAAAACTTGAGTGTGACCGATGAAAACCTTTCCCATTAAAAGTATTAATGCCAGTTACCTAGTCAGTTTGATTCTGGCACTTATTCTTTTCTTGCTCCTTGCAAATTTCCCCACTGGGAAATTCATTACTTCTTATCAATATAGTAGATTCCAATTTGCCATGTCAATTTCATTTTAACTGGGCACTGCAAAGCTTATTGCTTGTACATTTCTCCCTTAGGAAAAGGCACTGGGCTTCTTAACAATGAAAGCAGAAATTTATGAACATGGTGAGGAACAGCTTATTAATGTACCCACCTAGAAGTTGGTGGGGAAAGAAAAAGAGGAAATAGTTTAAATTAATAAATGTAAATGTAAAGTAATAAAAGGGTTAAGCAGTGAAGGAATAATATTCCCCTCCCATCTTTTGCACCAGTACTGTACACACTAAAAATGCATGAAGATGAACCCACAAAATGTTTGCACGCATTGTTAAGCAGACTATAACGGGATACCCATGGGACATCTGCTCCCTATGGTCTTCACCTCTTTTCATCTGGCAACAGTTCCTGGCTTGAAACAATTGCTTCAAATGGCAACTACTCAAATAGTCAGGCCTGTATATAGTTCGGAATCTATATGCAATGGTCAGCCTGGAATTCAGAATATGGAATAGTTGTTGTTCTAATCACAGTTGCAGAGAAAAGGCTGAAAACAGGGTTGTCAAAAAAACAATAACCCAGGTTGGTAGGATTTCTGTCTTTTCCATTCCGTAATCCCAGAGCTTGCCTGAATATATGTGGAGTTTCTATGTACAATACTAAGTGCTTGCTTCTGTTATTATTACCTGCACGTCTCTGAATACTTATGGTACTTACTTATTAGATTTATATAACCTTCCTCCTTTATTTAGGGCAGGGGTGGGAACTTGCAGTCCTCCTAATGTTGTTGGATAATAACTCCCTGATTCCTGACTAGCCTCCTGAACCAATATGTGAACTAAAACACAGCTATCCTTAAAAATTCACATGTTTCAGAATTTTGAGATGCAGTTCTCCAGCCAAATAATACAAACAATAATGTATGAGTTAGGAGGAAATGCACATTAGTGAAAATAGCATACAAAAATGCATTGTATTAAGTTGTTGAGCTTTAGTTTTTGAGCTATTTTTTTATTAAATTCACAAAAATCTACACTGCCAACATGGACATTCCAGCAATTTCTGCCCGGACACTGTTTACAAGGGCTGAATACTGGCTATGTCTGGGAAATTTCAGACATATGACAACCCTATATAAAGGAAAATTGGTTGGAAACATGTGTCTATTGGTCAAAGCTGCATACAAAAATATGTTTATTGAGAGAAATTCACACTAAAATGCTGACAGATTTCCATGAGGATTTTTTAAAAAAAAGTAATACAGAGATTGCTATGGAAATGTGGAGAACCTAATTTAAAATGAGAAAAATGAGAAACTTTGAAAAGTGAAAATAACTGATTTGTCCATCCCTCATCCCTGACCATTGGCCAGGCTGGCCAGGGCTGATGGGAGTGGGAGTCCAACAACATTTGGAAGGCCACAAATTCCCCATTCCAGATTTAGGGAGATTCCAGTGTAGGGATGATTCTATGCAGGTCAGACAATACTAATTGTTTACTGACTACTCAGACACAGAATGTTTACCTGCCAGCATCCATATGAATTCTACTCATCTACAGTACATCCATGCTGCATTCAGTGACTGATGCTACTCTAGGGAACTACTGCATGCGAAGCTTGTGCTTGAGCGTTGAGCTATGGTCCAGTGTGAATTTGTGGCTGGGGTGAGCAGCCACGAGTGCTGCAACAGTCTTTTATATAATGATCTGGATCAACTATTAAGAATTCAACCAACAATCTGATCCCTCCCCCCAATTACAGGCTAGTGGGTCTGTCTAATATGAAGCACATATCCTAGCTATATATAAAAATAGAAATAGAAACTGATCAGAGAAATAAAATCACTGCCCAGACTGTTTTGTGGTACAACTGTGAGTCATAAGATGCATTATGCATTTGACATTCTGTATTTCTGTACAAGAGGGCAGCTGATATAAACAAATTATACCAAGGGTGCAGTCTCTGGCATATCAACACATTTTCTCTTGCAGCAAACAAATAATGTTCTGTTGTGCTCACTATCAGCCTAATCACACAGACGGCAGAAGAGCAGCAGAGAGGTCAGGTCCAAAGCAGAGCTGAGAATACATAACATAGATAGATATATAATTTAATTTGCATGCCGCCTTTCCACAATTCAAACCATGCTCAAGGCAGCTTACGACATAAAAAATATGTAAGTACAACATAACAAAAGTAAAAAGGTAAAGGGACCCCTGACCATTAGGTCCAGTCGTGGCCAACTCTGGGGTTGCGGCGCTCATCTCGCTTTATTGGCCGAGGGAGCCGGCATACAGCTTCCAGGTCATGTGGCCAGCATGACTAAGCCGCTTCTGGCGAACCAGAACAGCGCATGGAAACGCCGTTTACCTTCCCGCCGGAGCGGTAGCTATTTATCTACTTGCACTTTGACGTGCTTTCGAACTGCTAGGTTGGCAGGAGCAGGGACTGAGCAACGGGAGCTCACCCCGTTGCGGGGATTCGAACCACCAACCTTCTGATCGGCAAGTCCTAGGCTCTGTGGTTTAACCCACACCGCCACCCGCGTCCCAATAAATAAAACATTTTTAAAAACCACAACCAAACTGAACAATTTTTACATAAATCACAAAAACTAAAATAAAAATACAATAAAGCAGCAATGACAACTGCAAGTACGACACCCCGCAACAAAAAACCCTAAACAGTATGTCTTTGCATTCCAGATGAAAGAAACTCAAAAATCTCATTTTGGCTTTGGTTACATTTACGTATTGAGGCAGTGCTCACTAGTTCAAAGGGGATGATTAAGACAGCGACTTCAAATGTATATGTTGCCACAAGCACAAATCACTGGTCACTGATCACTGTGTATGATCAGTGGTGCAGATTCTTTCACACAGCTCCCAACTGGACTGCCACTTCTGCATTTCATCTACAGAGCAAAATAGTTGACATGAACTGAGGAGGATGACCTCAAAATGGACATGCGAATTTGCTCTGTTTACAGGTGTCAGTGCATAATTCCTGAGGCTGACTGTTTCCCATCTTTTGACTATGATTCTGCTATATGATCTCAGGAGTCTGAAATTTTGGAATGTGTTGGAAGAAGGCAGACGCTAAGAATTCTGCAAGAAATATTAGCACCCAGCATGCCCTTTCACAAGGAAAAAGGCTCATTTACATTTAAGTATATGGAAGCGCTTCCCCAGATGTGTGATCCCGATGTGTACCCCACATAGTTTTCTTCTACAGCTGAGTAAGGGATGGGGAGCTTGTGGCTTTCCAGATGTTCTTGGACTCCAGCTCCCATGATCTCAGACCCATGACCATGCTGACTGGGGTGGATGGAAGTTGGGAGTGTGGTGTAGCAGTTAAGGGGGTTGGAGTAAGACCTAGAAGACCAGGGTTCAAATTCCCACTCAGCCATGAAGCTCACTGGGTGACTTTGGGCCAGTCACTCACTCTCAGCACAGCCTACCTTACAGGGTTGTTGTAAGGATAATGTAGAGAGACAGAGAACCATGTATACCAACTTTTGCTTCTTGGAGGAAAGGTGTGATATAAATGTAAAAATAAATAAAATAAAATCTGAACAGCCACAGGTTTCCTACTCCTGGTTTAGAGGCAACTAATAATCAATAAAAGGATTTGTCAATAACAAATTCTTGATATATATCATTTTGGAGGGTAATGTATAACAGATCCAAAAGTATTTTAAAGCAGAGAGCCTCCAGCTTTGTTACAACCACCAGACAGAGTTGATTATAAAATTGGATTATCTGCCATTTACAGTAATCTAGTTTAAATCCTTATTATAAACCTCTCTCATCCAACAGCTTTTGGGAGACTAGTGATTGCACCAAGGTCAATCTAGAAGCACGAGTACTTTCCCATCTAGCAAAAGGAGATTCTTTCTATCTACCCGGTTTTTCTAAACAAAGATTCTGAAGTATAATTTTCCTGACCTACAGACATTTGTGGTGGGGGGAAATTAGAAATCTCCACAGTCTTTTGAGTTTATTGCCCCTGCCTAGGGACCACTGGAACTGACAGAGCGCATTCTGACCATAAGCAGCTTTAAATGTGCAGAAATAGCACTTGTGTAGAATGAACCCTTCCTGGTGTGTACTGATTCAAACTGCAATAGAGGGTTTCATATCTGAGAGTTCCTCCTCTAAAGAAGAAGAGATTTATGCCTCTGAATACAAGTTGCTGGGGAACATGACCGGGAGAATGCTGTTGTGCTCATGTCCTGTCTGTGGGTTTTGACCACTGTGAGAAGTGGATGTTGGACTAGGTGAGCCTTTGGTCTGATCTAGCAACGCTCTCATGATCATCATTTAAAAGACTTCTATTCCTCTTGCTAGGACAATCAATACACAAAGCAGTGTATAATCCATAAATTCATCAAAACAGTTAAAACAACAACAAAACAAAAAGTCATTACATTTAAACAATAAAATCAACTAGGGACAATAGCCTCTACTTTCCAGCTTCCCTATATAAAAACCAAATGCAGACATGTCTTCAATATGCCTGCCTAACTTTTCATTGGTTGACTGAATGCCATAGGTCATGGGCCAACACAGAAAAGGCCCTGTATCTTGTACCCACCAGCCTAAAGGAATTTACTAAACAAGATCTCCAACACAGATTGTAGCTTCTTTTCTTATGCTCCTATCATGTGGTTTGGTGTCTTTCTCGTGTGTAAGATGAGACAGATCTTTAAATCCTCCTCTCCACCCACCCCCATATTATAATACAAAGTATTTCAAGTTTCAATATTGGTTTAATATGGTTTAATAATTTTAGAGGTAGATACCTGCACGTTTATCATTTTTAATATTGAGACATTGCAGCTAGTGTGATAGTGACATGTTGGGTTGCATAGAAATCATTGGTATAGAACAGCATTAGTTAAAACAAACTTAGCTTATAGAAGGCCTGATAACAAATAGAAATACAATATAACTTCACTATTACTTATAATTTTGCCTTTTTACTATGAGAAAATTAATACAAAACTAGGCGGGGGTGTGTGTGTGCAAGAGAAGCAACAGCAAAAATCCTCTCTGCAGATCATCCTTCCTTCAACTCAAGCAGCATTTCACTAACGTTCCTCCATTTTTCCTATGTTGGCACCATATCACCATCTTTGCCTTTGCAATTCAGTTAACTATTTTACAAAATTTGTGGCAGAATTCCTACTGCGGACTTTTTGTCCACAAATACTATCCCTGGGTGACCAAGCTTCTCTGGATCCCAGTTGCCACATATCAGCTGAGATCAATGCCCACTCCCTTCAAGCTTATTTCCTCATTCCACATTGCTCTATTCCCTGGTTCCATAGTCGGGTGCTTGCCTCCCTTCCAATTAACATCCGAAACCTTCCCCAAAAATTCTACCAAAGTTACAGACACATAGATAGGCTATTCTTCAGCATAATCTATTTTGAAACTCTCGTTTGTGTAATGTCATGAAAACCACAATATATTCTTAACACATTCTCTGGATTTTCTAGCTACAGGTTTTGTTTCTGTGTTTTGCAAAGCCTGGATGTTTTGGTGTAATATTAACAGATTCCCGCACATGAACCTCCATTATTTTATTGATTTAACTTCACAGCCCTGGTAACTTTAACGTAATATATATCCATACACACACATGCACACACACTCAAATGGAATATATTTTCAAATACATTCACTAGATTTTGATCACTCACCCTCCTCCACTCAGCTTAGTTCAAACTGTAAAGCTATGCCCTTTATCAGAACACAAGCTCCACAAAAATCTTCCCAGCTCTAAGATGTAGCTGTCCACTGGTTTTTTAAATTTAATGTGGCAATCCTACTATCCTGGAAAGATAGCTCACATTTTACTCCTGAGATTAGTTTTGCATCAAACTCTGGGATTTCAAATAATTTAGTGTGAGTGTGTGTGTTAATGAAGCCAGGTATAGCAATTCACTTATTAATTCTGATAAACCAAGAAATGGGAAAAATCTATATGACCAGCAGAGCTAAATGCATTGGCTATATTTGAAGCATAACCTATTACACTCGACTATTTTTCTAGAAAACTGTTACACATTTCCAGTGAATGAGATGATGCAAAAGGTAAGGAAGCATACTGCAAGTGGCTGCCAACCATCACTCAGCTGCTAAGGGCTTAGCACCATCCTTGACAAAGAAACTGTGTGTGTTTATGTGCACACACATAAACACAATTGTTGACAGGGCTATTTTAAAATTTGCTCCATTTTATCCAAACAAGGAAAACGATGCTGAAAGAAATCAAACCTAGACTGATTCTGTAAAAAACCATTTCCTGATTGGTCTCCTCCAATAGGTTTTATACTGTGCTGGGCTACTAAGGCAAGGAGAAAGACTGAGGAACCCTCTCCACTTCTCCCTGTTTGTTTGTTTGTTTGTTTGTTTGTTATTAATTAAATTAATAAGATACGCTCAATAAACCCGGGAGGAAATCAAACATTTTAACCGGAAAGATCTGCCCCTAAATCTCAGATAGAGATAGACGTGGCAGGAAAAGCCCTCTGCATATGCTCAGAGGCACGCCGTCCAATTTCCAGAGTTGAGCCTTAGCACTAAAAAGGCTAATCTGCGGCTCTAATGTCGTCCCTCCGTTCCCACGAGCGCTAGGAGATTTGCGCGCACATAAACCCTGGTTGCGCCTTGCAATGAGGATCCCGGGGCTTCCGAGGCTCGCTCTTTGCGGCGGGGAAGGGGAGATGCGAAGCAGGCGGCTGCCGGGCGACGGGGGAAAGTTGCGCGGGGGACCGGTGGGTCCCGTCTTCTCCTCCGCGCTCTTCTTACCTGGGGCGCGGCGCAGGGAAGGGAGCCGCTCGGCGCGCAAAGCGAGGGAGGCTGGAGCCAAGAGCAGCGGCGAGCAGGAGGCGCTTGGTGGGAGATTCAGCCGAGCCGCAGCTCCCGGACCTCTGGGCGGAGAAGAGCGTGCGTGTGTCCGGCTTAGCGACACATCCCGCGGATCCTCTCACCCGGCGCAGCAGAAGACAACCCTCGGGGCGGAGCTCCTGCCACAGGCCTCCCGCCTTCTTCCCCACGCGGGGCAGAATAAGTGGAAACCGGCGGACGCGGCGGGTTTCTCAGCCGCTGCCCGGGTTGCCCCTCTCTCCTACAGAGCCGCATCCATCCCAACCCCTCCCGTCATCTCAACCTGCCCGTCTAATTTACATACCATCGTATCCTCCTTTCTTATTGATTCACTTAGATTTAGTCTTACATTTCTCGCTTTGTCTCCGTAGAGCTCCATACACGCCTCTCGCGCTCTCCCCCTCGGAGGGAGGTCAAATGGGTTGGGGACTTCGAGGGCTTGTCAGGAGGCCCCACTAAAGCAGTTGAGGGTAGTGGGTTGTCCAACTGTGGTTTCCAAGTTGACCCCCACAACAATCATTCCTTGTTTTTTGGTGTGTTTTTTAAAGGCCTTTGAAGGGAATGAAGTAATATTCCACAAGGATGCGAGGAGTAAATAACATTATTAATCTGGATTTGGCTCCATTCGTCTTGGTTTGCTGGGTCAACCTGGTTTGAATTAGCTATACGTAGTTAGCAGGCTGAAAATGATTTCAGGGTTGGCTAGTTTAGCACACATATAGCGTGCAGCTACAACCCGCAAGTGGGTACCTCCACCTGGTGGTGAACGAGGAGTATTTTAAAATGACAAATTTTAAAACTTTCCTTACTTTATGTAGGGAAACACGTTTTTAAGGCAATAGTTTTTCACAAGCGAAATAATCTGGAATAGGGCTACCCTTGAGGTGGGTCCTAAGGCTGCAGCTGGTGCCTTGCTTGCGAGATTTGCATGGGGGCCAATCTGCAATCCTGCCAAGTTCAAGGTGTTGGTAATAGCAGATACAGCTCTCTATACAGCTTGGGACCAAGTTACTTGAGAGACTATCTTGTTATTTACTTTCTTACCTACTTATATCTCACTTTTCCCCCTGACGGGACTCAAGGCATCTTACAGCTAAAAACAAGAACTGCTAACAACATTTTTAAAAAACATTAAACATTGGCGGAGTTAAAACTATAGAGATATATAAAATCTCTTTTAAACATACCAGTAATTACAATAAAAACAGTAGAGCACCTTTAATTAAAAGCAGTCAATTCCCAAAAGCCCGTATAAAGTCTTCACCTGCCGGCAGAAGGACAGCAAGGAACTTCTCTGGGGTGGGAGTTCCAAAGTCTGGGAGCAGCCACCGAGAAGGCTCTCTTCTGCCTTACATACCCAGTAGGAAAATAATTGTGGTCTGCGGAAGAGGTCCTCCTGCAAGCTCCAAAGATATCAGAAGCCTATTCTACAGTAACTCAGCAGGGCTTTCAGTGTGACGGCCTCCGTTCTGTGGGGAAAACATTCCTGTCCAGAGGGGACATGCGCCAACTATCCACACATTCTGGAAGCAAGTGGAAACCTTTTTTGTTCTGATGGGCTTTTCCAGCTGCATGAATGGGTCTGTGCCATGGGTGTCTATTTCGTATTGTCTTGTTTTTGATTATATCATTTTGGTTTTTCAGTTTTCTGCTTTTTTATTGTGCATCACTTTGAGATACTTCACAGAATCATAGAGTTGGAAAGGATCATGAGAATCATCTAGTCCAGTGTTTCCCAACCCCCCATAAGCAAAAAATCAGTAAAAATCAATACAAATCTGAGGTTCTGGTGCAAAAAGATCTCCCCCCACCCACCCAAATCCTGGCTACACCCATGGCTAGGTGCTGGGGTGGATTTCACCCTGCACCTTGCAAAGCTGGGCCGATACTGCCTACTGGCAATATCCGAAGGCCCTTGCAGAGTCAGGCGCAGGCTGCCACCGTGCCCAGCGGTGGCGGCAGCCACATGCAGCTCCAGCTCATCCAGCCCTACCCATTGCCACCACCCCACCTGACCTGGGGGTTCTGGATTGCGGGCTCTTCCGGTCAAAACAGGATCTCCCTCTTCCTCCAGAAACAAACCAGGACTGCTCCAAGAAAACACATGTAGCAAAAAGGAGCGCTAGGCCCTGGTGGGCCGACCCCTTACCCGCTTGTGATTGGCCAGCCAATCAGGTTTTGTTTTTTGTTTTTAAAAAAGGTTTTCCTTCACTTCTCACTTCCCTTTGTTGCCCTCTAGCCTGGTGCTGCAGCCACCCATTTATGTGATGTTCACCAATATCTCATTTGGAATATCCTGGGGGCCCCCGGTTAGGAAACACTGACCTAGTCCAACCCCCTACAATGCAGGAATATTTTGCCCAGTATGGGGCTTGAACCCACACCCCAGATTCTCTACCAATTAAGCTAACCTGAGTTCTTGCATAGAATTAGTAAATTAATAATAAGAATAATGATGATGATTATGTTTGTGGAAATAAATACGTATTAAGATTGTCTCCTCTTGCTTGATAGATATTTTACAAGGATTTTTTTCCCCTTCCAAAATGGAAATTAACCCATTTGATTACAACTCATTTCTGAAATAAATCCATGCACATAAGCCAAAAGATAGAGCTAGACAGTAATTAAGCACTTGGCAGCAAGTGCAGAAATTGGCCAAATTCATATGCTTAGATTACTGTAGTGCTCTTTTCATAGGGCTGCCTTTGACAACAGTCCAGAAACTTCGACTGGTGCAAACTCAAATACTAGAATGCATGTGAAAGGCAGGGCTTTAGGCAATTTTCAGTTGTGTTACCCGTCTTATGTCTGAAAGTGCTGACACTAACCTTTAAAACATTGGTTTGTAATCAGCTGATCTGAAGAACCCCTTCTATCTGTATGGATTTGTCTTTGCAACCCTATTCACACTCACCACTAAGGTCAGTCCAGCAGACAGGTACCCAAGATAGGGCATTTGCTTGGTGGCCCAAACCTCTGGAATTTAATTTCCCAATAACTCTGCTTGGCCTTTCTTGTGTCGTTAAGTAGACAACCCTAAAGACTTATTCACAACATCAAAAATTGTATTTATTTTTCATTGACCTGTATATGATTTTGTATATAGCTATTTTTATCATATCAATTGTTTCAAGCTTCATTGCAAGCTAACTAGTGCAAGCTTTCCCTAAAAGTCAGAACCAGAATGTATGAAATAACTAACCGTGGCTTATTGTACATACTGAAACCAGCAGTCACTACAATCCCAGGTCCTGTTCATAGAAACAGCTACCACATTACTGCATTGGGTGAAGCTCATATGAATATACCACTTCTGTACATCATAATTACTCTGGTTCCCATGATGGCTGTAGCATTTTTTCCAGTTATTGATATGACTGGACAACTAAGACAAGCGCCTACAGAGAATTTACACAGAACTGCTGTTTTACAGAAATGGTGAGCCCAAACAAAGTATCAGGGCTATAATCTTCTGTAGACTGAGCAAGTAAAAATGGTACGTAAACACACCATTACATTTATTTGATAAATGCATGGTATTAATTATTAAGAGTGAATCTAATAGTGCCTTCTTGAGAAAGTCATGCCATCTTTGGCCAAAGTATCGGCTGATTTCCAGATGTAGAGAACATTCCACTAAACTAAGGCAGAAGAGTTTTTAAAGTAATAAAATAAAATGATATATTGTATTAAATGATTGAAAAATTTAATGTGTGTAAAGGCAACTCTTCATTAAAAAATTTTTTTAATGGATGTAGTACATATAAAGTAATATCTGACCACAGCAGCTTGAATCTGCTAAAAACATACTATTTATGCCAGAAAGGGCTTTACATTTACGCACTGAAGGTTTTTTGGTGTTTTTAAAAAAACTTTAATAGCTCCTCATTCAACATTCAGCAAGAAAGGCAATAGAAATCAGTTACCTATAGTAAACTTTGATTTTACTGCAATGTTGTTGTTACGCTATTTTATTGCTGTAAACCACTTGGGAGATTTTTTTTGTCTTGAAATGAAATGTATTGCATACCATTTCATAATTACATCAAGGAAAGCATGCCAGTAAGTTCCCTATAACTTGCTAACATAGGTTTTCCCCTTGTGTGCAGTAAGTTGGTTGCTCTTAATAAAAACTTTTTACACAATTGTTACAAAGCTTGCAATCCTAGCCCCATTTACCTGGAAGAAAGTCCCACTGAATTCAATAGGGCTTACAACAGAGTATACATAGTTAGGATTGTGCTGTCACTGGAAGATGTGAGCGCTATTACTGTAGAAATTTTAAAAGTAATTTTATTTTCATAATAACAGGCAAATTTGTTAGACCCATTCTCATTTAACTTTGCTGAATTAAATGCTTAGAAAATAGTGTTAGGTACAGAACTACTGAATGTAATGGGATTTTTAAAAACTACAGATGTCTATGCATGAAAACATGTAGGAAAAAAGAATGAAACATTCACAAACTTCACAAATTCAACATTATGCCTTTAGCCCCTCATAGAAGTTACTGTTATCTCAAAATGAAATGAAAAATAAAAATCAATTTTATTGTTTACCCAGATACAAAAATACAGTACAATATGATGAAGCAAGGCATCCACCGAGAACATTCAGCAAGTTAAGAGATTTTCACACTAAATACTTCATTACATTTTCTCTTCTATTCACAAAAGAATTAAAAGACAAATGCACAAATGGGAAAGCTTGTTTCTGTCTAAATGTAACCAAAGGAGCAGCAGGCAATTCTATAAGGAAAAGAAAAACAATTTTGTACTTCCAATGTTCTTCATGCTGCTCCTTGGGCATGTAGGAAAATAACTCTACTTGGTGTAGCGTTCATGACAGAATTATTAGTTTAGTACAGTGGGCTTGGTAAAAGTTCATACTGAACAATAAAAGCAAGATTGTTGTAATCCTAAACATTAATATCTAGAAGTTCCTACTGAAATAAGCAAGACTAAGCCTGTTTATGATAAAAGGAATAGATGATTCTATTAAGACCAATGTCCTCATCACAAACCAGATACCAGCCTTTACCTCATAGAGAATAAGCAATTTAAAAAGAGTTAGGCCTTAAACTCCACTGAAACTGTGGTTTATAATATGCTCAAGGTTGAAACATTCATTCATCAGTAAGTATTTTAGCTTTATTTATCCTATAAACAGGCATTTCAATGTAAACAAGAGAGGACAGAGTTATTTATTTTGACTTCACTGTCTGAAAAATTAGATAGTATTTGATCGAACAAGTTATCAGTAGGAAAAAGATCGTATCAGTGCATCTACAATTCCTCATTGGGGAAAAAGGAGGGGGGAAAGAGTCATATATCATTTTAGATTCTGAATTTATATAAAACAGATCCCCAGTGTATTATAATTCATCTCCGAGATGTTTCTTCCTGAAAGCATCGCCTGTCAGCTTCTCTTGGGCTTCCTTCATGCCTTGGATGACTGTAATATTAAACATAAAAGATGCTTAGTACTTGGTTCAGTTCAATTGACATGAATAGGAGAGAAATTCATCCAGTTTGCATTTAAAACTTGCCTAATTCACATTTTCTGAGACAATATGCAAACCACAACACAGCCAACCTTCAAAATTTTTACTTCTCTGAATTTTGCAGTGCAGTTCTCCAGCCAAGTACCGTATTTTTCGTCCCACAGGACACTCCGTCCCTTG